GTTGACCACTGCCACCCCCTGGTGGTCTGTCAGGGAAAAGCAGCATCTTCCACCAGTTGGTGGGGAGCAAGTGCCCCACTTCTCCCACCTTCTCTCACCTGTCTTCCTCTCTCTCTCTCCTACCTTTTCCTCTCCCACTCTCCTCCCCTCTCTTTGCCTTATTCTTCTGCTCCCTGATGCAAGAACTTGACTTAAGTCTGCTGGGTTAAAACCTGGCTCTGGCATCTGCCAGCTGTGTGACCTCAGGTGAATAACTCAGTCGTGTCCTCCTCTGGAACATGGGGATTGTGACTTGTGATGATAAAAGAGATAATGCACATAGGACAGCTGGCAGTACCTGGCCCGATAGCGTCCACTGTCATCCCTGCTATCACGCCTGGCACCAGGCAGGTGCTCAGTCATGGGTCGCTTGCTTTCTGTCTTCCCCAGACTGCACATCAGAGTCCTCAAAATACCCGTGCACTCCGTGTGTGGCACACGCCTGTGATCCCGGCACTCAGGAGGATGAGGCAGGAGGATCAGGACTTCTAGGCCAGTCCAGGGTATAGAGCAAGACAAAAAGGAAGAGAAGGAAGGAAGGAAGGAAAGGAGGGAGGGAGGAAGGGAGACAGAAAGAAAAGAGAGAGAAATAGAAAGTGTTGCGGGAAAATCACCAGCCAGCGAGAACAAGACAAACCCAGGTAGATGGAGGAAAGGAAGGTTTATTACGCTAGCGGGCTAGCACCCAGATATCTCCAAAAATGGCACCAGCCCGGGCTCAGGGTGGTTGGGGTTTTTATATCCAGCAAAGCAGCAGCAAGCAAGCTGGGAGTGCAGAAGCAGACCTGGCAGTTAGCTGTTCAAGGTTACAATAGATCATGTCAGCACACCTGGGGACAAAGGCCATCTGCAGTTTCTGGTGGGATAGCTGGATGCAGGGGCTCAGCAAGGGGGAAGGGCTTTACTCGTCTTTGATCCTCTCCCCGGCTTTGATCTCTCTCTGGGTTTCCTTATCATTCCCTCCTCTTCTCCATCATAATAGGGAAGTCATCTAGGGGCAGTCTTTGGTACTGTCTCACTGACTGTAACTTAACAGTGTCCATCCGGTTGCGAATGAACCTGGCGAGGTTTATCACACAAGGCCCTAGGAGCAATGGTAAGAGTAACACAGTGAGTGGGTCCAGCTTCTCCGCCCCGCCCCGTACTCCAAAATGTTTCCCGGTTTTTTGCCTTGATTCTTTCTAGCAACTGGCGAGCATCTTCTCTCACTATCCCTGGCTGGTTTGCAAAGAAGCAACATTCCTCCCCTAAAAACATGCAAATTCCTCCTTTTCCCATAGTAATGAGGTCTAGGCCCAGGCGATTTTGCAAGACCACAGCTGTTAATGAGTCTAACTGATTTTGCAGGGTGACAATGCTCTGTTGTACTAATCCTAAATCCTCATGGATTTGTTCCGATAGCTGGCTATGCTGGACTTGTTGGAGACCAATGGCAGTAGGCCCCCATGGCCGTTGCTCCTGTTAGGGCGACTCCCTGAAGTACCGGGAGGAGGACGGGTTCCCATCAGAAGCGGGTCCGACCGTCAGTCTGCTAGTTCAGGTTCTGAGCAACCTCAATCCCAGAAAGTATGTCCAGGTCTGGGACTAGGAAAACTAAGGCACGGTCCCCCCTGGATAACAGGTATGGATCCCGCTCTGGCAGGCAAAGTAAGTTCCGTTGGGCGCCTTGGCTCCTTTTACCAAATTAGTGTAGTTTTTCCTTTTGTCAAAGCATTTAGTTTCTCCAACTACTTGGACAGCCGGGCCCGTGAGGCAGGTATTGTCATGCTGGGTAGAGTTGTCCAGGCCTAGCCTATGTACTTCTGATATGTTAGCCAGGCCACCCCGGCATATGACATTTGACTGGCCCTCAGGCAAATCCAACAGTCTTTACCTAGTTCAGGGTCTGCTTGCTGTATTAGTTGATGGCTGCTGTTTGTTAGGGCCATCATCTTAATGAGAGGGGTGTCAGGGCATAATGGGGGCCAATTAGTTCCATCCAAGGAAGGAGGAAGGATGGCCCCTGCACCCAGGGGTCCAGGGAGTTGGCTTTACTGACTGAGAGAGAGTCATTTGCTGCTTTAATCTCAAGTCTAAGGGTCTTTAAGAACGCTTGACTTTCCCAATTACGTTCGAGGGACCATCCCAGTCCAAAGACCCTAGTTCCCCATCGTTGGGGTTCATCTATTGTTAACTGGAAGAGTTCTCCTTTCCCTTGCCTTGTTCCTTAGCTCGCTCCTCTTTGTTGCTTGAGGATAGCCTCTGAATAGTGACACCCGGGCATTTGGTGGTGCCCCCTCCCAAGCCCCCGAGGAGGCAAAATCAACACATGACCATATTGTAAAAAGGACCATGAGGGTCCCCCAGTCATTCCAGGTCTGTGGTATTCGGCCATACACATTGGATAAGCAATCTTTGACTTGGCCACAGCAGACCAGGGTGGTGGGCCCTAAGTGAGCTGTTGCTCTGACTTCCAAGCTTAGGCAGTACCTAAATAAGACACCACAGGGCCCGACAAAGCACAAGTGATGCAGTTAATTAATGTTGTTCCCTCTTGTCCTTCCCAAGAGTCCGGCCTCCCATACTAGCTTATGGAGGATCCCAGTAGGGCCTGGAGGCCTCACGTGGGAGTCAGTCATTATGATCACAGTTGTCAGTAGGATCAGTAGGTCTCATTGGAGCTTCCTCGGGTCAAGGTCAGTTTTAATGGCTGGTCTCGATTGGCTTGAGATCTCCACCCCTGGCCTGGATCCTCTGCTGGCTTAGCATGTGTGTGATGGATCCACGGCTTTCGTCCTGCAAACTGAAGGAGTAGTTAGAATGACTTGGTAAGGTCCCTCCCATCAGGGGTCTAGACCCCCTCTTCTGGACAAGTAGTGGGGGCCTGGGCTCCTGCCCTGGGTTGTGTTGGGTACAGCACAGGCAAGACTTGCTGGCCAACTGAGTTAGAGTCGCCAATTGTGGAATGGGTAGATATTTTTGTAACAATCCCTGTAGGGAGGTTTTGCCCAAATGGGTGATGTCATGTGCCAGCCTTACCAGGCCTGCAGCTGCCTTTTCCAGCATTAGGCTCCTTCCCTCCAGGGTGATGAACAAGACTTCTGAGTTTTCTTTAGCACCTGTGTTATGGGCCTGTTCTCTTTCTTGTGGTCTGTACTCTGACTGGTCCAGGAGGACAGAGAGGGCAAAGCATACTTTGGCTGAAGTAGCATCGTTTTCTTGGACTTTTTTTTGAGAGAGGTACTTCCTTTGCTGTCCTATCTGCCAGTCCATTTTCCTGGCTGATCTTGTCTGGTCAGTTAGTATGGGCCGGATGGTCGATGACTGCAATGGCTCGGGGTTTCCAGACTGCCTCTAACAGTTGCAGGATTTGCTGGCTGTTTTTGATTTCCTTACCTCCAGACATCAGAAGGCCTCTTTGTAAATGGCCCCGTGGATATGTAAGGTGACAAAGGCATAACGGGAGTCAGTGTAGATATTGGCTCTCCTCCCGTCTGCTATGGTGAGGGCCTGGGTAAGGGAATATAATTCTGCCCATTGAGCTGACCAGTGGTCTGGCAGCCACCCATGTTCCACAACTTGTGTGATGGTGGTCACTCCATACCCTGTCCTGTATCCTCCTTGTAGGCTCCAACTTCCATCAGTGAAGAGCTCCAGATCAGCAGTGTCCACTAAGTCAGGCTGGGAAGAGAAGACCTCACCTAAAACTTCCTCACAGGAATTTTTCCCTTCTCTTCTGGTAAATATGTGGTTAGATTGAGAGTCCTCACTGCTTTGACTCGTATCCAGGGGTTTTCACCCGATAAAGCCTGATATCTGGCCACTCGTTCCCTGTCATCCACTGACTGGCGGTGCTGTTGAGCAGAGGTTACTTGGTGGGGACCCAGAGCGTGATGTTTTATCCCAGGGTCAGTTTATCTGCTTCTTGTATTAAGAGGACTGTCGCTGCCAGTGCCTGGAGGCATGGGGGCCAACCTGAGGCCACAGAGTCTAGCTTCTTGGACAGGTAGGCTACCGGTCGGTTCCTTGGCCCCAGTAACTGGGTCAGGACACCTAATCCTACACCTCCCTCCTCATGGACGTAGAGGTGGAAGCGGCGAGTGACATCACAGGGCCAGGGCTGGTGGCTGTGCGTGATGTTGGCTAGGAGCTCTATCACAGCTTGTGGCTCATATGAGTATGCGGGGTGTGCTGTCGCCAGTTCAGGAGGTTGGTGGTGGTGAATGGCTGATACACATATTGCATGGGTACAGCCACATATGACCCATTTGCCTGGCGTAGTGGTGGCCCAGGAGCCTGACGGAGGGAGCATAGCACCACTGCTTACTTGTCAGCCTCCCAGAATTTGGTGACCTTCCCCAGTAGTTCATCTCTTCTTGTGAGGTCACTGGAGGCAAAGGGGGTTATAATGAGGAAACCGCTGAGTAACATGGGTGGGGGTCCAGGACCAATGTTCCCTCCTTTCCATTGGAGTCCCCTGCATTGGACTCAGACCTCGGGGAGGCCAGAGTGGCTGAGCACACTGGAAGGACATATGGTGGCTGATCTGATGACTCAGGTTCTGAGGTGTGGTGGACCTCAAATTTCTTTTCTTTTACTTTGCCATTAACCAAAATGGCTGTGTGCCTCTGGGGGGCATGAAAACAGAGCCAGTCAGGCCAGCAGGCGGCCAGGATGTACCAGGAGTCGATGTAAAGAAACTGGTCTGGATGGCCGGGGTCTCCGAAGACTATGTTCCTCACGTGGGCGGTAATAGCCACATCTAGGGTGACCTCTGCTGGCCATCCTGCATTAAAGGCAGGCCATTCCACTTCACAGAATCTCCAAAGCTTGGCCAGTTTCATCTTAACCCCATAGTCACGTGAACAGCCTTCCCTAAAGTTAGCAAGGACAGTCTGGAGCACTGCCAGGCGCTCCCAGGGGAGCCCGTTTTATATGTGCCTAATAATTGCCGATGCCACAAGACAAGCAAAGGAGGGGGTGCCTCCCAGTGAGGCCACACAGACGCTCACCTGGTTACAACTCCAAACAATGAGGTTGAGTGTGACTTAGCCATAGTGGGTTCAGCCCGACAGGGTGACTTACGATCAGGTGCTAGCCCAATCCCACCATAGACCATAAATCGCAGGATGAGCTGACTCAGACTCCGTAGGCTTCAGGGGACCTTAAGGGTGCCCAGCAGTGGAGCCACAGATTCGAGCTTGAAATGCCAGCGAGTCAAGCCACTCACTCACACACCATTCACTCAGAGTTTAAAACAATCAGTCCCTATTTATTTCCCCTAAAATCCTGGCTTGCTCCAAACCCAGTTGACTGGAATCACATCGGTCCCAGAGGAAGGGGCTGAGTAACAGGGGATGAGTAAGCAGCTGGCATGGCTCAGTCTGACAGGTCCCCGAGGTCCGGCTCCCCGGGGATCCAGCCACTGGCTGCCCGCTCCACAGCCTTCACCCAGCGGCCCCTCAGCTCCTCCGTCTCTGCCTTAAAGGTGTAGAGCTGGCCCGACTGCTGCAGCTGGAAGACCCGTGAGTCCCCCTGGGTCCCAGAAGTCACTTGGTAACCCAGCAGGGGGATGGAGGTGTAGGCCCGCGTGTCCTGGGGAGGAGAGAGCAGTGGGCCTCTGTCCCCCCCATTTTGGCCACTTCACCCCAAACAGTCACGTTGAAAGTAAGAGTCACACACTTCTGCTCACAACCCAAACCCCTGTGAAGGAGATGGGCTGGCAGAGGCTGGAGAGGAAGTGGGGGAGACTCAGCCTCCCTGGAGGCTGAAGCAGCTGGGAGCTGCCCCTGGCCCAGCTCCGAAACTCACTGACCTCCAACTTGAAGGCACCTCGTCCTCACTGGGCGTCAGTCTCCTTGTCTGCCACACTGAGCTAACGACAGTCACCCCAACCCCTCTTTCTTCCCCCACACTGTAGAAGGGGCAAGGCTGGGTAAGGCAGGTGGCAGCAGTACCTGAGGGGCACCATAGATGTAGAGCACCAGGGGGTCATCACGGGGGATCACACACCAGCCCCGGGCGCCACTCTTGCCCCACTTGTCACCAGTCAGCTGCAGGAAGCTGCACAGCAGACTCTGGTCAGGCCCCGCGGAGGCCCCCTTCTGAAAGCAGAAAGGGGGACAGAAGACAGAGTATCCACAGTGCATGGGGGAGACCATGGGATGTGAACTGGAACTGTCCAGAGGGACTGTGCTAGATGGGGATGCAGAGCGGGGGTGGAAAAGCCTGGATGACAGCCTGCAGCCAAAAGTTGCTTCTGTGTGGTGACAAGCCCTATGCTGTGTGGGCTGTGGGCAGAGAGGAGGGAGTGGGAGGGAAAGAGTGACCATGGTGGCTTGCCTCTCAGCACCTAGGACAGAGCCAGCTTGGGTGTGCACCCAGTCCACACTCCCTGAATGGAAGAATGGTGACAGATGATGGCCATGGTGGAGCCCCTCACCTCCAGGATGCCCCTCCTCTTGTCCTCCTTGTCCTCGGGGAGAACACTTCCCGTGAGGAATGTGTAGCAGGTGAGGCAGACACGGTTGGTTCTGTTGTCATCATATTTCAGCTCGGCACGGTAGTCAGAGCACCTGGCACAGACCACCTGGGACGGGCAGGAAAGACATGGAGCCTGTGGTGAGACATATGTGCCCTGCGTGGGTAAGTGGGTGTGAGAGCACACTGTGGGGAGGGAGGGAGGGAGGAAGCCTGGTGACAGCATTGGACACAGGGTGGGCTGGTCCCCACAGCCCAGGCCCTGACTGCTTCCTTCACAGCCCCTTCCTTGGGGCTGGGCCCTGGGGGACTTGCGCCGGACAGACCCTAGCAGTCCACCCACCTTTCCCAGCTCCCTCTGCCAGGCCACAACCTGACTCCCCAGGGCTGTGTCAGTGCAGGGCAGGATGGCCCAGAGGGGGCAGTGACTCGCCAAGCCACACAGCTAAGTGGCAGCACAGCCCTGCCACTAATGGGGTGTCTTTAATGTCCCATGGTGTTCTAGACTTTATGCAAATTTGGCATCTGCTCCATGGCAGGGCATTGTAATACAAACACAATAGGGAGACATGTCCAGAGGACCCTGTGCCAGGAGGAGCCCCCAGCCCACCGTGGGAAGCCCCCATAGGCGGCCATGGATTGTGCTGGCAAGATGCGTAGAGCACGAGGAGGTGAAGGCAGGAACATGGGGTGCTGCCAGGCATGATGTCGAGGATGATTGGTGCATCTTGGGCAGCACAGGAGGAGGTGGGTGCAGAAGGTGAGAGAGACAGGCAGAGGGAGCAGGTGCCAAGTGCAGCAGCTCAGGGACTCACCTAGGTCCCCACCCAGCACCCTACCTGCCCCGCCCTGCCAGGGTGCCTCCTGGCAGGCAAAGGAGACAGAAACTGGCATCTGGGCCACCGAAAGAATGATTCACCACCTCCCAAGCCCAGAGATGTGCACGGGCATGAGAAACCCCAGGCTAAGGGTGACCCACAAGGTCCCACAGGGAGCATTTTATTTTTTTATTAAAAAGTTTAAATTGTTTAATATAACTAGCTAATATTTATTTCTTCTTCCACTAACTCTTTCTCTCTCTTTCTCTCTGTCTCCCTCCCCCTCTCTCTGTGATTTTATGAGACAGGGTCTTGCTATGGCCCAGGCTGTCCTTGAACTTGAAATTCTCCTGCCTTGGCCTTTCCAGCACTGTGAGAGTACACAACCACTCCAGGCTTCTACCAACTTTTAATTTTGTAATTTTTGTGTGTGTGGTACTGGGGCTTGAACTCAGAACCTACACCTTCAGCCACTCCACCAGCCCAATTTTTTGTGAAAGGGTTTTTCGAGATAGGGTCTCGCAAACTATTTGCCCAGGTTGGCTTCGAACCTTAATCCTCCTGATCTCTGCCTCCTGAGTAGCTAGGATTACAGGCGTGAGCCGCCAGCGCCAGGCAGTTTTGGAATATCTCAAGTGTACAGGTGAATCAAAAGAGTCATATGGTGCCTCTCACCAAATTCTCCAACTGTAAACACTTTTGCCACATTTGCTTTCTCTCTCTCTCTGTCTATATATGCATATGCATATTTTATTCTGAACCATTCGATTATAAATTAGTCATCATGACACCTCACCCTTAAATTTGCAGCTGGCATTTTTAAGAACAAGGCATTTTCCTACCTGTCCACGTCTTGGTGACACATGGGAAACTTAACATCGAGACAAAATCATTATGTGATTATTCAAATCACATTTCCCTCAGTGGGCCCAATAAGGGTCTTGGTGACTTTGTTCCCTCGTCCCATCCAAGATCCAAGCAAGGATGATGTATTTCATTTAGTTGTCAGGATACTTTCTCAAGCTGTGGGGCAGGTACCTGGGTGTGACTATTATTTGTGTCTGTTTTTATTCTGTCACTATTTTTAATAAGTTTCTTTTTTGTCTGTACTGGGGATTGAACTCAGGGCAAGTGCTCAGCCATTTAAGCCACACCCCTGTTCTTTGCTTTTAATTTGTTTTTCAGATAGGTCTCAGGCTTTTGCCTGGGCCGGCCTCCAACCATGATCTCCCCACCTCCCAACTGCTGGGATGACAGGTGTGTGCCACAGAGAATACTGCCCCTCAGTGCAGTAGGGGCTGAAAGTGGCCTCTGGTGACAGGGGGACAAAAGGAGCAGACCTAACCTAGTGAGGAGGAAGGATGAGGAAGAGAGTATGGAGGAGCCTTCCTTCTTCCTCTAAACCTCTCTCCCACCTGGAAACCCAGGTGAGCAGATGCAGGCCTGCCCCAGGCAGGCAAAGTTAGCCTTAGAACCTCCATGTGTCAGTGAGCTGAGGGCCTGCAAGGAAGAGGAAGGTGACAGGATGTGTAGTGGGTTGGGGGCTGGCGAGGTCAGGGACAGTATGTTCCACCCTGGGACAGAGACCATCTTCTAGCTCTGGGCCTGGGGCCTGGGGCAGTGGTCAGAAGGCTGGTAAACGAAGGCCAGCCTGAGGGGGTCTGTTTACCTCTGTGAGCCTTGTTTTCCCATCTGTAAAATGGGAAAACAGCAGCCCTGGCCTCAGAGGTGTGCAGTGAGGCCAATGGAGGCCACGCCCACTTGGGCTGAAGCCAAGCAAGTGCCCAATGTGGCTGGGCAGCTCTGGTTGAAGCTGGCAGTGCTGGAAGGCGGGTAAGCAGGGCCTGAGCCCGGGAAGTGCAGGCCGGGGTGGGACAGGCAGAGGCAGGGCTCCCTGCAGCACTCACATAGCCACAGGCCCGGCAGTGGTGGCGACGGCGGGTCAGGGCGTTGAAGGTCTCCTGGCAACGCATACACATGGTCACCATCTTGTCGCGAACCCACTGCGGGGCCCGGAGGCCCAACTCCTCGGACTGCAGCTGTGAGTGGAGGCAGAGCTGGCTAAGGAGTGGAACATTGTGGCCTCCACCCAGCTGCATGGGACAGAGGGTCTGTGTGCTGGGCTTCCCTGGGCTTGCCACGCAAAACTGAGTGAGTTACTAATATTCTCATTCTACAGTTGAGAGGTCAAGTGACTACGCACAGTCACCCAGCAAGCCAGAGTTCAGAGCCCACATCTGACTCAAGTCCAACCCCGCCCACCTTCCACCTTCCCTGGTCTCCTTGCTCAGATGATTTCGAATGCAACACCTCATGCCTGGCCACCGCAGCCACCACTACGGAGATCCCAATTACATGGGACTGTGTTGCCCATCGGGGCTCTAAAGACAGATCAGTCACTACCTAGGGCAACACTGGGTGGAAATGCTCCCCAGTCCCTCCACACCCTCCTGGTGGGGGACACTGTGGTCCCTGAATTCAAGCCTGGATTATGAGAGGGGGCAGAGACTTCCTTACCTCCTGCTCCTGCACGTCTCCCTCAGGCCCCTGGGCTGCAGCCTTGAAGGTTTCATTCCGCTTCTCGATCTGGTCGATGGCTGCCTGGCAGGCCTGTGGTGGAGGTGAGGGGTAAGAATGGGGCTGAGGGGGTGGGCTTCTCATCTGTGCACCAACCATGCAATCAACAAACACTGCTAAAAGCCTGTCCTTGCCCTGGATTCTAAACACACTCATGCTGATTTAAGGAAGGAGAAACCATTAGCCCCAGATTACAAATGTAAAAATGGAGGCTCAGAGAGGTTAAGTGACTTGCCCTAGGTAGCCCAGTTAAGCAGTGAAAAGTGGCAAGCCTTGAACCCAGGGCTGACGCCAAACTACAAGACAGCAGCACCTTAGGAAGAGCAGGGAACAGGCGTGGCAGAGTCACACACACAGACGTGCACACACATGCACATTGCACACATGCGTGCAGGATGCACAACCCCTTCCTCCCCTCCACCTACTATGCTGGGGTCAGAATCCCAGAGTGTCCCATACCTGCATCCAGGAAATCATTTCCTCCTGGGACCTGTGGGAAGGAAAGTGAGCCCAGGGGCCTAGGGCTGCTGCCCAGTTCCCGCCTGCCCATCGGCCCCAGCCCGAGGCCCACCTGGCCTGCAGCTCCAGCGTGCGCTGCTTCCCTGACACCAGGAAGGAGTGTGGGAACTCGGCGTCAGTCAACTCACGCACCTGCCAGCGAGGAGGAAACTGGCTCAGCCCATCACACAGGCTGTGGGCTGAAGCCATGTGGATGGCGCCAGGGGAAGTCCTGGGAGCCAAGCCCATGTCCCCCTGCTGCAGCCCTGTGTGAGGTGGAGGGCACAACCAGAGGCTGGAGCCGGACTCAGGTGGGAGAGCTCCTGCCCAGCAACCAGAAGTCCTGGCTTCCCACCCGAAAAGAAAATCGGATCTCACAGCTAGAAGAGTGAGTGAGGGTGTACTGTACCATTTTCCTGGGTTAAAAATGTCCCTAATAACAAGCTAAAGACAGCTGGGAGTGGTGTGCACTAGAAAGACTGAGGCAGGAAGATCAGAAGTTCTAGGCTGGCCTGGGCTAAGTTGTAGAACTAATCTAAAACAAACACCCCCCCCAAAAAAAAAGTGAAAGAAAGAAAATCATCTTCACAGCAATCTTGGAAGGCAGTTATTATCATCCTTGTTTAGGAGACAAGGACATGGAGGCTCAGAGAGGGCAAGACACTTGCCTGAGCTCACCAGCATTTAAAGGGCAACATAAGGATTCCAGCACAGAGCACACAACCACAGAGGCCCTTCCAGAAGGAAGGACTAGCTCCCAGGGTCATGGACAGAGGAGGAGGATGTATCTGTGGTCAAGCTGTAGAGGAGGTGGCAGGCCACCCAGACAGCATGCAAAGGTCTGGTCCCCTCACACATGGGCTCAGTGGCCACAGAGCTCCCAGACAGGTGCTCCCTTGGCAAGTCTGTGCACTGTCTGGGGGAAGCCTGGGCCGACCGCACTCTGGGATGGAGGAGATAGATGTTCTTTGACCCTTAACCTTGAGGACTGAGCCCCGTGAGCACACAGAGCCTCTGGCTCCCAGTTAGATTTCAGGAGGACAGTGCCTGCAGCTCTTCTGTGCCAGGTCTCAAACCGGTCAGGGCTCTCCAGGTCTGGGTCAGCCCTGAGCCCTGCTGGTCCACACCCTGCCTTTGTGCTCCTTGGCAAAAGACAGGCATCCTCAAAATGCTTTTCTGACATCTGTTGGCTAACTGGCAGAATAGCCAGATTTTGTTAGAAAAAGACATTTGACTGCCATCTGCTGGACAATCCTCGCTCTAAATACACAACTGTGATACTGTATCATGGTCAGCTAATCTGCAGTCCGCTGTGGATGGCACACTTTCAGATGAGGTATCCTTGTGCAGCACACGACCTGCACAGCTGTACATGGAGTCCCTGCAGGAACCCACATCCCTTCTTTCTTTGCAGTGGGTCCTGTGCAGAATGGCAAACTTTAAGATCAGGTGAGACTGTAGGGAGAGTCACCTGATGAATGAAGCCTCCCTCACACCCAGAAACGAGGAGGCCAAGGGGCCTGAGCCCCATAAAAACAACTGTGGCAGTCAAAACAGTTGCCTTCCAAACCTCAGTCGGAATATGGCTCCCGCACAGACACCAAGCTTTGCGCAGCTCTGCACCTGCCATGCCTGTGCTGTGTGGCCACTAGCTTATGAGATTTGCTCACCTGGTGACAGATGGCCAGGACCATGACGTGCACACACTCTCAGCGCCTGGTGTGCCTGTTTCTCTGCACAGTATCTCCTTGATGCTGCGGATGAGCCAAGGCCTTGTGCCTGTTAAGCACAGGCTCGAGCACCGAGCCACCGCCAGCCTCTGCGTGTCTCTGGGTCTATTTCTTGGCTTTCTCTCTGTCACTCTCTGTTTTGTTTCTAGGCCTGAGTCTCTGCCCCTCATCTGTCTCCAATTCTCAGTCTGAGGCTCTCTGTCTACCTCCTGGTTTTGCTCACCAAGGACCTCTCAGAGACACGCTGCACACCCCTGGCCTGTTGGACATTCTAGCCTTGCAGGATAGAAGTTAGATGCTCCAGGTGGGGCTGCACTCCTAAGAGACCTCCATCAGCTTGGGGGGGGCCTGAGCCGTGAACCCCCAAGTGGTACTCATGGTCCCCATAGGCCTTCCTCATGGGCAGGCTGTGCCCACTCCAGGCCGCCCCACTCAGAAGCAGGGCAGGGCTCCCCGTGGTCTCCTGGGACCAGGGGTTCCAGAGCAGGGTGCCAGCAGCTCCCTCCTGGGCTGATCTGGCTGGGGGCAATAGGGATGGGCAATGGGGGAGAATGGGAGGGAGAAGGACAATGAGAGGCCAGACCAGACCCCTGCTGTTCCAGCCCTGCCCTCAGGACACACTGTCTCAGAGCCTTGGAGAAGGCTGTATTTGTCTGCACCCTGATTTAGGCACTCAAACCAGGGGCTGTGGTGAGCCTCCCAAGCAAGCCACTTAAAACTTGGTTTTCCCATTCTTTCAAGTGTGGTTAGGGATGAATGGATGGATAGATAGGTGACAGACAGACAGGAAAACTTACACACAGACCCAGCACAACAGTCTTTTCCAGTCCCATGTGCAGAGCCAACAACCGAGAACCATCTACTCTACCCCAACGTCACTGTCTATCCTCAGGGGTGCCATGCAGCAAGGCGGGGGTGCTCTCTGTGCCAAGTGCAACAAACTCTAGGATCTGGGTTAAAAAGTAAAGCACAGAGGGCTGGTGGAGTGGCTCAAGTGGTAGACCACCTGCCTAGCAAACGTAGCACCTGAGTTCCAATCCCAGTACTGCCCCCCCAAAAAAAGCAAAACACAGAGCCTGGGGAGTGGGAGAGAGGGGGGGAGGGGGAGGAGACATGGTCCAATAGATGTATACACATATAAATTAATGCATAAACAATAAAAAAATGCAGAACCTGTGTCCACTGTACTGCTGTTTAGGGCACAGGGAGGAAACGATTGTGAAGACCACAGTGGGAGGCTCACAGGAGCAAAGGCCGCCTTCAGGAAGGGGAATAAGGACCATGTGGTGTCCCATGCCTGTCATCCCAGCTATATGGGAAGCATAAATAAGAGGGTTGTAGTCTAGAACCCCCAGCCATAAACACAAGTCATTAGAAGAACAACTAAAGCAAAAAGGGCTGGCAGAGTGGCTCAAGTGTAGAGCACCCGTCTAGCAAGTGTGAAGCCCTGAGTTCAAACCCTCCTAGCTCCCTTTGAAAAAAGAGGAAGTATGGGTGGGGAAGAAGGAGATGAGGAGGAAGGGAGGAGACTGTTCACTGTCTATGTTTTTATGTTGCTGGATTTCGGAATATGTAATATCTATATTGTTCAGTAATAAAATTATTTTTAAAAGATAAAAAGTAAATTGGCCAGGGATGAGAATGGCTCCATCACAGGGCTGTCACCAGCATCCCACAGATGGTACAGGCCCCAGTCTGTGTGGCTGCCCAGTCACTGGGCTTCCTGATGGGGTGCTGGCCCCACATTTCACTGGCTGGGGCCACACCGAGCCAGCAGCTGAGCCACACCGCAGCCCTTTCCTCTTCAGATACGAGTGGTCAGTGCACCTGCAGCACTAGCACCGCCCCACACACACACACACACACTCCTGGGGGGCCTGGAAAGGTAGGACCCCAGGGCTGAGCTGTAGCTCCATTGCAGAGCACCTGACCCACCTAAACCAACTTACTCAAACCTGACGTCAACCTACTCGAGGCTGGCCTACCCATCCCAATTGAGCAGCAGTGTGGACGGCAGGGAAAGGCGAGCAGGGCCCCCTGGGTCGTGCATTGCCCCACAGAGCAGGCCAGGCCTGTGAGAGGGGAAGGGCCCGGCAGGTCCACCCTGCCCAGCCATGCCCACCTTCCGCTCTCCTGCCGAGATCCTGCTTCTGTCCCTCCTGCTACTGCCCGCCCTTGAGCCTACCCTGGATGAAGCCCAGAGGGGCGCGGGGAGGGGGAGGCGGGGGCCTCACCTTCATGCCGGCCACATCGATGCGGGTCCGCACCTGGAAGCGCGCGCCCATCTGAATGACCCTGGGCACACAGTACAGCAGCATGTTGTTGAACTGAAGGGGACATGAGCGTGAGTGTGGGCGGCAGCCAGGACAGTGGCCCAGGGGCTTCCCGGGCTGGGCTGCCCGCCACGGATCACCCTCTCCTCTGGCCACATTTACTGCCCCTCCTGGAACACCAGCCAGAGTCCTGGCTTCCCTCCTCTGTGGACGCCCAGCAGCTCCTACCAAGAAAAGGTACCGCTCTATGGGGTCGCTGCGGCGGAAGGATATCTTGAGCACGGGGCCCTCGCGGAGCAGTGTGTTGGAGGGGTCCACTATGTTGGCCTCCAGGCCCAGGCGCTGGTACACCTCCCACAGGTCCTGCAGCCGCTCCTGGGGACGGGGTACAGCCTCAGCCCAAGCAGGGCAGGGCCCTCTGCTCCGGGAAGGCGTGCTTTGTGGGGACAGGGACAAGGACACACACAGGAGCGTGGCTGTGGGACAGGTGCCCTGGGCAAGATCAGTGGATATATGGACCCAGCGACTAGCTAGGGGAGGCCGAGGCCGGTGGGAGGAGGGCTGGGCCGCTCACCATCTCCTTGATGGCTGCGTTTGAGTGCTGAGCGGCGGAGAAGATCATGTCGAGCGCTTCTGACAATGAGACAGGGCTGGAGTTATGCCCGGAAACTCTGGGGCAGATGGCTGGGGGAGGGGGGCCTTCAGACTTGACAAAATGGCCTCAGGACCTGCTGCAACTGCCCCAGAGCTGTCCTACCTGTGCAGCCCGTACGTGGGTGTTTGGATGGTGGGAACCACACAGGGTGGGAAGATTGGAAGCCATTTGGCTTCAATGACTCACTTGTCCCTGAACAAAGTCAGATGTAGAGGGCCTGCCATCCTACAGGCATGGGTTCAAATCCCAGCCCTGTTCCTTTCTGGTTGTGTGATCTTGAGCAAGTCACCTAATCTCTGTAGCCCTGATGTCCTCTGTAAACAGTGGCTGGGGTGTGGGTAACGTCTATGAAGCGCCAGCCATTGATACTGATGACCAATGGCTGTCCTAATCATTTGGGGAAGTGCTCGGCTCTCCCCCGCCCCCTGGGACCCCAGAGGCGTCCTCACTCTGGGCATCTGCCCGATCCGGAGCCTGGGCTGGCAGCTTCTGGACGTATTCCTTGAGCAGCAGCTCATAGCGAGGGATTCTCTGCACAGGCTCGAGCATATGGTGCTGTAGGGTCAGGCTGCCTGAGGCCTCGCTGCTCTTGGGGAGGAACGGGGACAACAATGGGGGATGGTGAGAGTGGGAAAGTCAGGGGATGGGGCAGGGAGGTGGGCACTGGGACTGGAGATGCCCCAGATCATTTGGGGAAACTGAGCCGTCGCACTCAGGGCTGGTCGTGCAGCCCTCACCTGGATGCGGGCGATCACCTCCTGAAAAGGTGGAGACTTGTCAGTCCAGGCAGCCAGCAGCTCGGCAGCCCGCTCAAAGTTCTTGACGTACTCACTGTACATCTTCAGGAACGGGGCCAGTTTCTGGATCACATCCCCAATGCGGGGTGTGGCTGTCCTGCACAGGAGCACAAGGAATAACCCTCAGCCTGCTGACCTCCCCTCCTGACTCCAGACATGAACTCCCAAAGCAGCCTTTCCGGTGCACTTGTGGGAGTAGCTATGGCAGGGTGTCACCCCATGTGCATGTGTCTCCCCTTTAGACTGAGCCTGAGGGCAGGTGCGAATCCACCCACTCTCTGCGTCCCCCCCAAAGCAGTGACAGGTGCTTGGTGATGCTTGATGCTCGATTACACAGCAATATAAGGCCACACACTGAGTGCCACGCTGTGCGTGTCTCTTCTGGTTCAGTTCCCACAACCCTGCAGTGGGATGGGCACTAGCCCATCTAGAGGTGCAGAGGGGTCAGAACGCATCCAAGGCAGGGCTGGGGTTTTTTCAAGCCCGGGACAGTGAGAAGCCCCATTCAGAGCTGGCCTCCTCAGCCTCATTTCCAGCCATGCCAAACACTTCAGCTCTATGCCATCAGCAACCCACTTAGCCTCTCTGTACCCCGTATTTTTTCTTGAGGCAGAGTCTCATTATGTAGCCTAGGCTGACCTGGAACTTATGACCCTCCTGCCTTGACCTGTGGGTCACGGGTGTGCCCCACCACATGGTGGCTTGTACCCCAGTTTTCTACTCTGAAAAAAATGGGGATGATGGAAGGTGATCTTGTAGAGTTGTTCTTTCTCTTTTTTGAAAAACAATTATGAAAAATTTTAAGGTAACAAAGAATGTAACAATGGGCCTGCTGTATCCATCACTTACTGACATTGTTCTTTGTCAAAGAATGTTAAAGTCACACCAGATATCATGGCATTTCTTTGGAAAAATATATAAATCAGGTAATTTTATCATGAAACTCTTCAGTGGCCACCTCTGAAAATAAAGGTTTCTTGTGTGACGGTGATGTGATCAGCACGCAGCTGGCTGAACTGAAGACTGAGTGTGTTTAATAGGTACAGAGTCCAAGGCCAGGGAAAGTCAGCACTGGTGACTTTCACTGCCACCTTCAGTCCTCAGTCCAGCGGTGACCGGGCCCAGGACACAAAGACCACAAAGACACACACACACACACACACAGAGATATACATACTCTCTCTCTCTCTCTCTCTCTCTCTCTCTCTCTCTCTCTCTCAGCTTGTTCATCTAAGCCCCTGATGTGCAAGGGAACCAGCCCAGAAGGAAGCCTGTCCTGGCCACATGGCCCCCTCCCTTGGGCTGCCCCCCACCTTGGCCAGGGCTGCTGTGACCTCACCAGTCCTCCAGGCGCCGCTGTAGCTCTGGGAGGAAGAACTGGGAGTGGAACTGGTAGATGGAGGAGAGGTTGGAGAAGATGAGTCTGACCACGTCCTCGGGGAAGGCCTTGCTGCTGCGGGCCTCCCTCAGCAGCTCCTGGAAGAACACCTGCGGCCACCAGCCCGTCACTGTCACTGGCTGCCTCACAGGAGCCGCCTCACACCTGCCCATAGGGGATGACACAGCCCCAGGGGGGATGGGGCCTCCCAGGTTTACTGAGGACTTCACTTCCTTAATCCTTGCATCCCTGCAACATTCCCAAGGAGAGATAGACAGGCAAGAAAGATTGAGGTCTGGACTTTACAGATGGGCAGGCCCTACAGACACAAGGACTCGGCCAAGTCTCGAACTTGCCCAGGCAGAAGTCAGGTGCTGATGGCTCATGAGTTAACACTCCAGCCTTAGGGCTCCTTGTAAAGTGAGGGCCTCAGGGTCAGGATAACAGCTGAGGAGGTGGTGCTGGGCCTGGAGGCCTGGCTGGTCCACACTCTGCTGTTTGTGAGGCAGGCCAGAATGAGGGTGGAATGGGAAAGAAGCTAAGGCTTTACCCCGACCCCGTGAAGGGATTAATGGGACGAGGCTCCTGGAGTCAAGCCCAGGAGCGGCTCTGGTGAGGCAGAAGGGCAGCAGAGCAGGAGAGGGGAGACAATCGGGTGCTGGGACTGGGTGGGATTGTAGCCACTGGCCTGGTCCAGCAGGTGCAGACGCGCCACGTAGGCCTGCTCTGTTTCCAGAAGCTCCTGGACGATCCTCTTCTCAGGCTCCTGCCAGGTAAGGGAGGGGAAAAGGAAAGACTTTGGCTCTGTTTCCAAAGACACCCCAAGAAGCAGACCTCCTGATGTTCCTACTCTCCCTCAGTGCATCTGGGCTGACCCTGGACGGTTTTCACAGAGAATGGGCAGAGTGAGGCTGATCAGTTTTGAGGCCTGGCGGCTTCTCCCTGTGCTCTCTCAGGAGCAGGAGCCAGCTGCTGACGGAGGGACTTCATCCTCCCAAGAGGTAAGGCTGGAGAAAGAGGGGCTGGCCTGGGCCTTTAGGGAGGTAATTAAGGGTAAATGAGGTCATAAGGGTGGGACCCTAAACTAGTAGGATTGTCATCCTTATAAGAAGAGGAAGCAATGCCACGGGTACATGTGCTCAGGGGAAAAGCCATTGGAGAACACAGCAGGAAGGTGACCATCTACAGAGCCAGGAACAGAGGCCTTCCCAGAAACAAATCTGCAGACACCTTGATCTTGAACTTCCATCCTTGGGAATTATAACAAAATTAATTTCTGTTGTTTAAGTCACACAGTCTGTGGTATTTTGTCATGACCACCCCCAGCACACTCAGTGCAACTGAGACCAACAGGAAAGCTGTCCAGTAGCATCCCAGACAAGCCAATAAATAAATTGTTGCCTTAAGCCACTAGGTTTGGGGGTGGTCTATCATACAGAAATGGATAACAAAAACACACTGCTATGATCATCTTTTGTGAGGCACAGAGAGGTTAGAGTGACTCCTGAGGTTGCACAGCTGGTAAGAGGAAGAGCGATATGAGCCCAGGGACTGGCCATAGGGTGCACAGTTTCCTGGATCCTCACCCTTACACTGTACAGACCAGGAAATAAGCCCCAGAAAGTGGGTCACTATTTTGAGCTTGGGATTGGTGCTTCCTCCAGTGGGTAAACTGAGGCAAAGGGTAGCAGGTTCACAAGATGAAGATTTCCAAACTTCAAAAGCAAGTTCCTGAAGCCTCAAGTTCCTGGCCTACGAGACTCCTATGGTGAGGGATATGGGAACTAGTTTGGCTAGTGAGGCAGTGAAAGTCAATCAAAGGCTGCCGAAAGGGATAACCTAGCTTCTGGCAGGTCTCTAGATACACAGGACCCCCACCTGGGGGACTGCTGGCTTTGGCAAGGGAACATGGTGGGGAGGAGGTGGGGAAGAGGACTCCAGGTCCCACCTGTGTCTCTGGCCCCGGATGGGCCCCAAGCTGACAGGACTTCCTCCAGGCCCCACTAGACAATTTGTTCTTCAGAGAGCTGAGATACTGCCTGCTGACTGTCCTGGGTCCAGACCCCAGGGCCTCCCCACCGTGGGGCAACTCCCATGGCCCTGGGGACCCAGGAGGTCTGTGCTCAGGACTGTGATGTGTGTCCTCCAGCCAGTGGGCTTTGGATGGTGCTCCTGGATTCCTGAGGAGAATAAGGCAGACTTGAGGGTTTCCTTGGGGGGAACAGGGAGCACAATGTCATTTCCCTGTGGGGATTTGGGGTGCCTGGTGTGAATGACTGGTGTGCCAGTGGCCCCTGAGTGTCTGGCACTCTGTAGAAACTTGCCAAGTAAGACTTTCACCTTTCTCCCTAATCCCTTTCTTGGAGGGAACTCCAGGCTTCAAAATTAGTCAGTGTGAACTGTGTTTTATTCTCTGGGGAACTACATACTTCCCTGTTTAAAATGCCTCCATACCAATAAAATAAAATGTAGCAACTTCTAAACAACCCCATGGCTTCTTCCAGACCACCTCCACCTTGGACCCCACCCTGTTTTAATTTCTGTACCAGTAACATGCACTGAGGGAAGATGAGAGCCATGCTGTAATCTAAAGTGAGGGCAGAGCTGCTAGATCAGCATGCTGGCTAAATTCTGTAGCTAGCAGTGGTTTGGGCTGTGCCCATTCCCCTTGGGGTGGATAGTCTTTGTGGTGAGAGCCTAGGACAGGCATTCTTTATGAGAAAGCCAGGTGGGGGGAATGGAGAGCCAGACAGGTGCAAAGCATCCAAAATTCTAAGGGAGAGGATTTTGTTACTCTCATTTTGCAGTTCTGAAAACTGAGCTGCAGAGGGACAAGAAACTTGTGGCCTGAAGTGCTATAAGGGGGATTCATGTTAGGCAGCCTGGCTCCTGAGTCTGCACTGGCTCCCAAGGTGCCTTTCCTCCTTCCGGTATGGGAGAAACAGGTCCAGAGAGTCAAAGCGATTGCCTCATAACACGCAGCTGGCTCATGGCTGGGTGAGCACTGGGCCCCAGCCCCAAGCTGCTGTCCCCGGGGCTCTGTCCCTGCTCCCTGGCACCCCAGAGCCTGGTTCCTCGGCCCGTGCCTCTGCAGCCCCATGGGAGAACTGAGTCTTGGGTTTTTTGTTGTACATTTGGTTTCAGGTTCTGCATTTCTCTCTCCAATGCACAACCAGCTTCTCTTTCCTCTCTGACCCTCAGTTTCACACCAGCTAAGGCGCTGAGGATCCCAAAGAGAAGCCCACGCCCAGGCAGCTGGCCTGGAGCCCCTCGCTCAGGAGGACTGGTGTTCATCCTCTCGACAGTGTCCAAGCCGGTCCGAGGACCACTCCTCCTGCCAGGGTGTGGAGGTGCTCCACCCACATGTGCCTACTCCATGCCTGGCACACTGGGTGAGGTGGTGCTGGTGCCCCACACCTTACCCACAGGGGTGGTGGGCCAGGCTGGCGGGGTCTAGGAGCTGGCCTTGGTGCTGGATGGGATGACCTGGGCCAAGACCCCGGGAGGCGAAGGTTAACATCTCACTGCTCAGGAAGTTGAATTGCCCTTCCAGGTAGATCTGTGACACCTCCACGTGGAGGCACATGAGGGGCTTCACCTACCCTGCATGCTCCCAATACAGCACCTCGGATCCCGCAGGACAATTACTGTCCACAGCCTTGCAAAATGGTTAGCATCCAGGGACAGAATCCTTGCCCAGCATCCTTTCTGGGTCCTTCAGGGGCTGTACTGTGCCACCTCCAGGAGGAGGTGCTCTCTGCCCTCCCCCAGGGCTGAGGGGATTGATCGCTGCAGGTTACTGGTAGAGTCCTTTCTGGAAACTGTTCTCTCTGGAAGAGCTGCCTCACCCAACACCCAAATCTAACAACTGGTTCCCTGAGATAAAAGTACCCAGGGCTTTGGGACAGCTGAGGCACGACCCCTGGAACAGGAGGAAGCTCAACCTCTCCTTCTGCTCCACCCTGTGAAAGCCTGGGCTTAAATGTCTGCTGAGAAGGGTCACGTCACACACCCTATGATGGCCACAGTGACCCTCACACACCTGACCCGGCCTTTTCCCTCCCAGCATTGTCCCAAAGCACTTGGAATCCTTGCTTCTCAAAGTGTCCCTTTCTTCGCTGTAAGATGGGAGTAGAAACCAGGTGCAGTGGGTGTAATCCCAGCTACTAGAGAGTTGAAGACTGGGAGGATAGCAGTTCAAGGCCAGCCCAGACAAAAAGGTATTGAGACCCCCATCTCAACCAACAAACTAGGTGTGGTGGGACACATCTGTAATCCCAGCTATGAGGGAAGTGGAAGTAACAGGATCTTGTTTGGATGTCAGCCCTGGGCAAAAATGCAAGATCCTACCTTAAAAGTAACTAAAGCAATAAAGAGCTGGAGTGTGGTTCAAGTGGTACAGTGCCTACCCAGCAAGCATGAGTCCCTGAGTTCAAACCCCAGTACTGCAAAAGAAAAAAGGGAATCGAAATATAGCTCATGATTACATAAGGTAAGGAGAGAAAAGAACCGAGAATGGTGCCCATCTGTAGGTACAATGATCCTGGTTTGCCCACCATAGACCCAGCTGTACCTGAGCTCGGCTCCCCCCTAATTTTATTTTAATGGCATTCATTTTCAGTTTCGCTGTGCTCTGATTTGAATTATTAAATCTAGGCTTGGTAAGGATCAGCTATTATTTCTGCTCAGTGTTGGAGAAGCAGTGGGTGGAGTCTTGCCCACCCAGAGCCACGTGCACTGGGCTCTCCGAGACACCTGCTTTCTCTCACCCTGCCCAGCTCTACACCCAAATGGAACTCTTCTGTGCTGCAGGGAACCGGTGAGGGATGTGGGTGCAGCCCAGGTGGGAGAAGTTACCTGGGGCAGGACCCAGAGAAGGCGGTGTTCACAGTGAGCCCCAGGGGTTCCTGTGGCTGAGGAGCTGGAGGCTGCCTGCCTCTGGTGACCCTTCCTTCCCAGCCACCTTGTACCTGCTGTTCTCAAGTACAGCCACCAGGTTGCACACGGACGCCAGCTGCTCCTCACCCGCAGACTCCATCGTGCAGGGTGTCCCTCAGCTATGCTGAAGCAGAGAGGGAGGCCTCGAGCCAGCACACTCAGCCACCCTGGCCTGGGGACACAGTCGGTTAGGACATTCTGGACTCTGCTCCCATCTTTCCTGAGGGCTTGGCAGGCCTGCTACTGGCTGCAGAGTGAAGAAAGAGGAAGTGGTCCCAGAGCCTGGGGAGGTAAAGGCCAGTTTCTCCCCACAGTGGGAGGAAGCTGCTTGGCCCCACCCACCCTCAAGGGGGTTGAACATTTGCTCCTGGAGACTCCCAGTTCTAGAAGCCACCTGCAAGGGCCAGGGGGCTCAAAGGTAGTTTCTGGAGCAGACCCTTGGCTGGCTTCTGTCCAGCCACACTTTCTCCCACTCAGGAGTTAGGGGTCTCTTTTTGGCCCCTTTTCCAGCATCTTCTTTTCTGCATCCGGCCCTGCTCACTGCTATAAGGGAACAGCTTCCTTTATTAAAAATAGATGACAACTCTGTGAAGGGCCAGAAAGGAGGGGCACTGTGGCATCCTCACCCCCTCATTGGTGACATCTTACTGGCTGTCTTCAGCCCCCGGGGAGGGTAGCTTCCTCTTTGAAACTCTGATGATAATAATAGCTAGCACACACACTTTTTAGTGCTTTGTGAGCCTTTTCTTGTTTCATCCTGCAATTGCCTTCAGAGGTGAGTCTTATTACCATCCCCACTTTCCACAAAAACAGAGGATCAGACAGATTAAGTAACTTGCCTATGGTTACCCAGGAAGAACACAGGAGAACTTAAGTTTCCAAAGAAAGCTAGCTAAGGTGTCCTACAATTTCAGCAAAGACATGCAGGGTATCTGGAGGACCACCTTTTTGCTGCTCAATCCGCACTCTGGGTAGTCTTTTCCTGATGTCTTCTGAGCCTCCTGGTCTCCCAGCCCTTTCAGAGCAAATGACTACTGCCTCTATTCCCCTCATTCAAGCCTGGCAGGCTGCTGGGTTCTGGTGGCATGCATCCTGAGTCAGGGCCCTCCAGTAAGCTTGTTCTTTGTCCTGGAGTGTAGGGGACCAAGCCTGAGTCATCCTGGTGTCTGAAGCGCCTGGTACAGCTTCGCACTGCAGTAGCTGTGAGCCCCAGGGCCTCCAGTCTAGCCCATGGCCGGGCACCCCAGGGCTTCACCACAGCTGTTTCTTCCACCAGAGGTCTGCCATCCCCAGTCCAAAATCCCATTGTTTTTGCTTTTTATTATGAAGAATTTAGGACATATGCAGAAGTAGACCAAAGAGTAGCATGTACTCCACGAACCCACAACCCAAACCCAGCCATGTGGTCATAGCCAGTCCCCTGTCCAACTGCAGCCGTGTCTACTGTCCTTTCTCTTGTCATTGTGAAGCAAATGCCAGACGTGTATATTTCAGTGTGTACCTAAAAGACAAGGACTTGTAAATAAATAAAATATAAATGTGTACATACTTGTAAATGTATACACATGCACATTTGTGATCACAATATTGCGTTACATTTTACGTGTGTTGTGTGCATGTGTATTATACCCTAAGAGACATTTTGTGATGATTCCTCAGTGTAACTAAGTATCTAGAAAATAGAGTGTCAATTCCTCATAAATGTCATCATTAAAAAAAAGAGTCAGGCTGGGAGTCAGTGGCTTATGCCTGTAATCCTAGCTACTCGGAGGCAGAGATTGGGAGGATGGTGGTTCAAAGCCAGCCCCGGGCAAATAGTTTGAGAGACCCTATCTTGAAAAATAGCCCCCCCCACACGCACAAAAAAAAAAGGCTGGTGGAGTGGCTCAAGTTGTAGAGTGCCTGCCTAGCATGAGGTCCTGAGTTCAAACCCCAGTACTGCTAAAAAAAAAAAATCAGGATCCAAATAAGGTCTACATGTTCCAATGAGTGGCCCTGTCCGTGAGTCATTCACCTTGTTCTTTTTGTCTTCCACACAATACTGTGTGATGGGACACTGGATGGCTGGCCCCATGAGTCCCCTGGCTGGGACTTTGCTCATTGCAGTGCTCTGTCCTGGGTTTCCCGATAGTGGTAGTTAGATCTGGAGCTGGACCAATCATCCTTAAGAGCCACTTCTTCCTGGATGCCCCTGGTCTGGAGTAGCCCCCACCTTCAGCCTCCCACCAGGCTAGAGGGAGGGTCTGGGTGCTGGGCACCTGTGCTTCCTGGCTGGTCCCTAGCACCATGTCCCCACACAGTGGAGCCTCCAAAAGGGTATGGAGTGCAATACACAGGTGCCACATCTTAAGTCCCAAAGGAATGTCTCATCTCCTTCTGCCTGCTAGGGCCTTCTTGAGCTTCCAAGGGTCTGGTCAGGGCCTGGAGGGGGACAGGGGACAAGGTACCATGTCCCAGGTCCTCCTTTACTCCCAAACCTGTTTCCAGCCTCAGATAAATACACAGCGCCTGTGACAGCCAGGCCTGTGACAGCCAGGCCTGTGAGGAGGGACATGTGGCTCCAGGGAAGGTGCAGGCAGCCAGCCAAAACCTGTCCCTCCCTGACCCTGTCCCTGCTGAAGTCCTTGTCTCCTCCCGCCCACAGGTGTTTGGGAGGCTCTGGTGGGGGCACTGTCAGGATGCTCACATGGTGGGCAGAGGCCACACAGACAGTGCCATTGTTGGGGGGCAAAGCAGCCAGTCCCTGGCCTTGAAGGGGGGCAGCTAGGAGAAAACCAGCCTTTCTCACAAACTGGTCCTGCCCAACTCCTCCTATTATAACCAGGATTTTTCTGCTCTGTTCCTCTGCCAGAAATTCAATCATTTCTTCTGAGAAGGCTCTGAGCTGCCTGCCGGCCTTCCCCGCTCAGCAGGTGTGGGCACCTCAGTATCTTCCTGATGTCACCTTTTCCAGGAACTTTCCTATAGTTTGGCTGCTGTATAGCCCTGGGTCTTTGTGTCATTGTCAATCTGGGAGGTGTTACTGTTCAGAGCTGCTCAGCCCTGGTTAACAGGATGGCAGAATCCACCTGTCTCCACTCTTGCTGCCCAGGTTAGGATCTGCTTGCTCTAAGACTGTAAAGATGGCACAGAGCCAGACCACAAGTGTGTGGCAGTCCTGACGTGGGTAGCTGGAGGACGTCAACCAGGCACATAAACAGCTTTTCTTCTTCAATCTGTGAACTATCTAGTTTCAAAGCTGACGTTAGCTGAGACTGGGCCAGGCTGTTGCCAGGCCCCGTGACCCTCCCCTTAGTAGGGAAGGACTCAAGGTCACCAGAGGAAGCTCCCAGGAAAGGCCCGGGGAGGCAGTCTGGGCACCCCAGTTGGAACAGCAGCACCCCAGTTGGCTGGACTAGCAGAGAACGTGCAGCCTGGGAGAAGCACGGGAAGACATTGTGTTTCCAAGGGAAGAGGGGACCTAGCAGGGCCAGGGCTGGTCCTGAGCATGGAGGTGCCAGAAGGGAGCCCATGAGGCAAAGCTGGATCCCAGGGAGGTGACAGGCTGTGTCTGGGAAAGCTTCAGAGTGTGAGCAAACAGCCAGCACGTGGGGTCATCACAGCCCAGAGCAGGCTCCTCTTATCTCCCACACAGAGTCTCAGGGAGAAATACGAGTGGCTTTGAAGAGAGTCACCAGGTTTGCAAGTGGAGGAAGAACAAATTGTTCCTGCATGGCCAGTAGGCAGCCTTTCTTCCATACCCCTCTGAACTGCGCCATCTCCTCCCTATCTTCCCACACAACAGCTAAAGCTATCCTTGGGCATTGTCCCCATAACACTCCATCTTTGTTACTAAGTCCTTCCTTTGTGGTCTTCATGGCCTCAGGGAGAAGCTATTAGGTAAGCAAGGCAGGAGGCCAACCAAAAGGCCAGTTTCTTTTCTCAGTGGCTGGAGCATAGCTCAGTGACAAGGCATGCTGAGTTCCATCCCCAGCCTCGAAGCCTATGTCTCTAACCCCTAGCTTCCTTCCCTGTCTCCTCCCTGCACGAATCTCACCTATCCTCAGTCCTTAAAGAACCTTGCTCATTCTTCTGTGTCCCCAAAATTTAGCACACAGCCTGCCACACAGCAAGCCCTCCACGAACCTTTCTCCAAACGGAGACAGGAAGTAATTGAAAAAGGTTCTCTTCCCTCCAACTCTTGCCCTCAACCTTGGCCTTCACCTTGACCAGGTCCCAGCAAACCTGAGAGCTCTGTTGCCTCTCCCAGGCCAGGATGGGCCCCTCAGGGATTACAAATGTTCTTCTGTTTTCTATCATTTCAAAACTCAGTGTTCCAGTGAGACACCACCCTCCCCTGCCATAGTCACAGTCCCCTGTGGGGCAAATCAGCCTCAGTTTCCTTTTTCAAGGGTCCCATCTTCTGTCTACATCAAGGGTATGCCTAGTTTATACCTCAATGGGTGTCTCAGCCAAGTCCGTCTGTAGCCAATGCCCAAGTCCTTGAGCTCATTCTGGCCCCTCTCCCTCTGACTTGGCTCCAGGGTGTGGCTTTCTTTTTGCCTTCCAACCTACCAAACCCCCACTTCAGGGCCTTTGCACTTACTATTCCACCTATCTAGAACTCTCTTCCTCCAAACATCTTCATGGCTTACCCTCTCCCCTCCTTCAAATCTTCACTTCAATATCACCATTTTACCAAAGTCTCTGCTACCCCTACAGACCCCATATGGCAAGATCACCACATCTGCAAAGTTCCCTCCCCAGGCCTGATTCTCATCTATTACTCTCACATGCATTGGCCTGCATTATTGTCTGTCATCTACACTAGACTACAGCTCCATGAGGCAGGCGTTTCTAACCGTTTGCTTATTGCTACCTTCCCAGCATTGACAGTCCTGCCATAAATACTGATTGCAGGAACACTGGCTGAAGGAAGTGGGGGATATCTCTGTCCCTCCTGAGCTCTCTCAGGGAAGAAGTTTTTTAATCCTTTGGTATTTCTAACATGCAGCCAAGAATGCCCTGGCTGGTTGGTAGTGGCCTTTGGTGTTCAGTGGGCACCCTAAGATACCAAATTTGGTGCCTCCAACCGTTGGCACATTCAAACACACACTCTCTCACACACACTTATGAAATTCACACCACACTAGTTCTCAGAGACAGCACGTCTAAACCAGGATTTACAAACTCAAATGCCAACTAGAAATCACACAGGTAACAAAACTGTTTGCTGGAAGTGTGTTGTAAAAACACAGACATTAGTTAGACATGGCAAAGAATGTCTGTAATCCCAGCCCTTAGGGGGGGCTGAAGCAGAAGGACTGAGAGTTTGAGTGAGGCCAACCTGGGATATATATTGAGACCTTGGCTCCAAAAGAAAAAAAGAAAAAAAAGTGAGGTGCAGAATCCATCATGACCTCACAGGAGCAGTTTTTGTCCTCTTATGACCTATTGGGACCTATTGTTTCCAAGAGGAGATGCAGGCTCTGTGATGCCAGATTTTCTTCTTTGTTCTCCCAAGAGAAATTCATAAAATAACTCAACTTTCATGAAAAATCTCAGTGCTATCAATAACTTGCTGAGCTCAGCTATACCCTCTTACAGTATTCCCTATGTTCTCTATAGGGCAAGGCCAGTTCCTTCCCAGCCAAGCTAACAGGAAACGGCTATTCTTTCCAGAGCCTAAGGACTACTCTTCCAGAACCACCAGGAATCCCTAAAATCCAGTCCTTACCAGCCCACCCTGCCCTCACCCAAGGCAAGCAGGTGAGCAGGTGAATAATAGCACAAACTAGAACATTCTCACCCAGACCTGAAAAGCAGGAGGCCTGAAATCAAACAAGCCCATCTGCTTTACACTGGGGATGGCTCTCTTCACGCCTGAAAAGCCTCCCCTGTTGAGGCCTGAGTTCTCGCCTTCAGATTCCCTTCTGACCTGGTGGGTACTGTTTTCTCCTTGCAACTAGTTCTTCACAGGATCGCAGAGACCTGGGTGCCCTATACACTTGTTCTCAAGATCTACAAGTCTTCTGTTTATCCTACTGCTTAGGGCCTATAGGACTGACTAAAGTTTTAATTCCTTAAGTGATGCTACCATAAATGTGTATTTTGTGTGTGTGTGTCTCTGTGTGTGTGTGTGTGTGTGTGTGTGTATGTGTGTGTGTGAGAGAGAGAGAGAGAGAGAGAGAGAGAGAGAGAGAGAGATGGGTTTTTTTCTAGATAGGCTCTTGTGAATTAATTGCCCAGGCTGGCTTCAAACCTTGATCCTTCTGATCTCTGCCTCCTGAATAGCTAGGATTATAGGCGTGAGTCATTGGTGCCCAGCTAACTGTGTATAATTTTTTTTAAGTAGTTTTGGCCAGGTATGATATGCATGCCTGAAATCCCAGCACTCAGGAATCTGAGAAAGAAGGATTTCAAGTTCCAGGTCAGTCTGGGCTAAATAGCAAGACCCTATCTCAAAACAAACAAGCAACAAAAACAAAACCCAAAATATTTCTGCTTATTTGTTCATTTCTGCTTATTCGTGCCTTGGTAGGCACTTGGGTTCCTACCAAGTGCCACGCTTGGGTTTCAACCAGGAATAGGACAGCCCCAGCTGTGCAGGAGCTTATAGACCAACAGAAGAGAATGACAAGAAAACAGGCAGCCCCAGTGCAGTGTGGTCAGGCTGTGAGGCAGATGGAGCTGAGCATAGTAGGACCACAGTGAGGGCACTAACCAGCCCAGAGCTGACTTCTCTATAATAGCTCTGCAGACGTGTGTCACATGGCTCAGTGAATGTTGAGCAAGAGTTCCTCTCATTCAGCTACTATAATTTTCACTTCTACACGTTGTTTGGTTCCTTTTCAAATATACCTGCTTTTTTTTTTTCATAACGTTCCATTCGTTTTTAAAGTGTTTCCTAAACAGCCAAGATGCCCCACTACTGACAAATGGATTAAGAAAATGTGGTATTTATACACAATGGAATTTTATGCAGCCATGAAGAAGAATGAAATGTTTATCATTCTCAGGTAAATGGATGGAACTGGAGAACATCATTCTGAGTGAGGTTAGCCTGGCCCAAAAGACCAAAAATCGTATGTTCTCCCTCATATGTGGACATTAGATCAAGGGCAAACACAACAAGGGGATTGGACTTTGATCACATGATAAAGCGAGAGCACACAAAGGAGGTATAAGGATAGGTAAGACATCCAAAAAACTAGATAGCATTTGTTGCCCTTAACACAGAGAAACTAATGCAAACACTTTAAAGCGACAGAAGCCAATAGGAGAAGGGGACCAGGAACTAGAGAAAAGGTTAGTTTGAGAAGAATTAATTTAGAAGGTAACACATATGTACAGGAAAGCAATGCAAGTCAACTCCCTGTATTGCTATTCTTATCTCAACTAGCAAAAACCCTTGGTCCTTCCTATTATTGCTTATACTCTCTCTTCAACAAAATTAGAGATAAGGGCAAAATAGTTTCTGCCTGTAAGTGAGGGAGTGGGGGGAGAGGGAGGGGGTGGGGTGGTTCAGGGAGGGGGCAGGGGGAAGGGGGGAGAAATGACCCAAACATTGTATGTACATATGAACAAAAATAAATAAATAAATAAAATAAAAAAGTGTTTCCTAATCTTTATATTTGTCTTCATTTCAGATCACTTAATTCATCACTTAGAAACAATTTACTGATTACTTACTGTCTGTACATCCCTATACTTCATGCTGCAGAGATAAAAAATCCAGTGTATTCCTTGCCTGGAACCAGTTATACACAAGGTCCAGTGGTGAACAGTCAAGTTCAGAAGGAAACACAAGACAGTTGGAGAAAAATGGAGAGGAAAAGCCCAATGAAGGAAAACATTTGCATGAGGAAGTGTCAGAAAGGCAAGGTAAATCAGCCCTACCACCACCCTAAGCTGGAAACCTGTGACCTCTTCTCCTTGGTACTATTGCTATGCTATGAACTTGACCCTTATTGAAAAAGCCCAATTGATGACTCTTACTGAGAAAGCCAAATGAGAATCCAGGCAAAGGAAGCCCCTGAAAACACTCCTGAAGAGGGTGAGAGGCTTGATAAAGAAAAAGCTGTTTGAAGGAGTGTAAGGTACTGCCGAATTAAGACCACGCCACATGTGGAAAGGAAAGATTTATTAAGATCCAGACTGCATGGCTGCCCCCCCCCACCCCCAGGTCAGGGAGCAGTGACTTGGGTGAATTGGGTAGTGGGCTTTACAGGAGGGGCCAAGCCATGGTGGAGGGAGAGAGTCTCTGGTTTCTGATTATCTGCAATCACCAAATGGAACAGGTCGCCATGCGTGGCTTGGTGAGTAACTGGAAGTTCCTGAGTTGTTTTGCAAGCCGAGAAACAATCAGGCAGAGAGAAACTAGCAGTCATAAATCAGGGGGTCTGGTTTTAAGGTGTAGACTCAAGTCCTTCTGCCTGTGCCAAGAATGCCAGGGACCTAACAAGGAGAAAACAGTAAAATGGAAAAGTCAAGGGGGCTATGCAGTGATTTGACTTGGACAAGCCCGGGTTTGGAAGGCCAAGGTGAGGGGCAAAGGGATGGAGCCCACAGGCAGAGGAGGTGGCTGGTCTGTTTTAGACAGGAAAGTGTATACAGTACTTGTTCTCAATTGTGGCCAGAAGACAGTGGCTTTTAAGAGGTAAGGCAGGATGAGAACCCTAAGCGACCAGAGGACCCAGGTTGAAGACCTCTCAACAAAGAACCTAGTGACAGGATAAGTACAGGCAGTGATCAGGCCCCCCAAAGCTGTGTCCCTGCAGACTCCAGGATCCATCTAACAAACTTTTTATTGTGCACCCCATGTCTAGCGTGGCTGTTATGGGTGTTGTAGGGATAGAGCACCAGGACAAACAGGAACAGGACTCTTCCTATACTTTCCTTGCAGGATTCTTGTGAGGACTATAGTTAACACATTTAAAGCACTTTTTTTTTGGAAAGCGCTTAAAAAAATGCCTGGCATAGAAAAGTGCAATTTGAAGGCTATTTACCTATTTCTTGTATCAAATACGGGCCCCTAGCACCGCATCTGCCGTGCTCACGTGGAAGGGCTGATTAAAACCCTTCAGAGCTGGTGAGGGAAATGTGCAAACCACTTTGGAACAGAACAGATTTTATAACCAGGACTGTAAGGCTGCCATCTGGGGAGGGTGCACGCTGGGGGCTCCGCATCGCGGTCCAGGGGACAACAGAAGGGTATCTGGACCAGAAGCCGAGACCTGACCAGGAGGCCCGACTCCCACGAAGGCCGCGGTGACCCGGATCTGGGCCGCAAAGGGGCGGGCCCAGTGCTGCGGAGAAACTCCCGAAGCCAGGGAGGGGGCTTGCTAGGGCCTTAGACCATATTGGGGGCGTCTGGCTGCCTGGACCAACGAGCCCCGCCCCTTCTGGGACTCCCAGGGGGAGCGCCCGGGCCTGCGATGAGCTCCACAGCTCCGGGGCCCGCATCTCCGATCACTCCCGATCACCCACCCCCAAGCCTGAAGCCCCGCAATTCGATCGGCCTCTGTCTCCGCCCGGGGGCCACGTCCGGCGCGCACCATCCTTCGTGCCACGCTCCTGCCCTCCCCCGCGGGCGCAAGTGGTGCGGTCCGGCCCCGCCCCTGCCGCCACGAGGGGCGTGGCTACCACCACGTGATGGGGAGTGACCTCGCCGCCCGGCGCCATGGGGGCTTCGGACCCGGAAGTGGCGCCCTGGGCTCGCGGCGGTGCCGCGGGGATGGCGGGAGCCGGAGCAGGAGCAGGAGCTCGCGGCGGAGCGGCGGCGGGGGTCGAGGCCCGGGCTCGCGATCCGCCGCCCGCACACCGCGCACACCCGCGCCACCCTCGGCCTGCAGCGCAGCCTTCGGCCCGCAGGATGGACGGCGCGTCCGGGGGCCTGGGCTCCGGGGACAACGCCCCGACCACCGAGGCTCTTTTCGTGGCGCTGGGCGCGGGCGTGACGGCACTCAGCCACCCCCTCCTCTACGTGAAGCTGCTTATCCAGGTGAGGGGCCAGGAGCACCGCAGGAAGACGGCAGCCTAATGTGAAGGTTGTGACAGGCCGGTGAATTGGGGCCGGTTGGGGGGTGAGACCGATGGCGACGGATTTGGAGAGATGATGAGGACGATGGATTAGGGGGATCGAAGTGATGGGAGAGCAGGGAAGCGGTGGGAAGTTTGGGGGTACAGGGGCCGGGGTGCAGGAAAGGGAGCGACAGACCTGAGCGACAGATTGGGGGGAGGAAGGAACTAGGGATTTGGGGAGGGGTGCAGGAGACGGGGTGATAGGATGGAGAGACACGCTTGGGAGATGAGGGGAATCGATGGACGACGGATTTGGGGTAAGAAGTTACGTAACTTGGGGGGAGAGGCGAGAAGTTTTGGCGAATTGGAAGAGGGCTGGGGGAGCACATTTAAGTCAGGACAACGAGGGTTCTGGATTTATAAAGATGGATTTAAAAGCGGCTTTGGGGGACAAAGGAGTGGGCGCCAGGGTTAAAAATTTAGGAGGGATATAAGGGCATCAGACTCGGGGAGGAGAAGTAGGTACTGAATTTAGTGCGAAGGCAAAGAATTCAGCAGGAGAGAGCTATCGGCTTACAGAAGAGGGGGGCTCTGGGTTTGATGGCGACGACAGATTTGGTGGGAGGAGGGGTGACGCGTCTGCGGGGAGGGAAGCATGGGAACACGCGTTGGGGGAGTGGAGTGGTGGCTGAGTAGTTTCTGGAGAGGGAAGCCAGGAGGAGGCTTTTCGGAGGAAGGAGATGACGCATTTAGAGGAGAAAATGGGATTACATTGTGTGTAGGGGTGAAGGGGTCTGGGAGTGGTGGAATTGGGCGGAAGGAGCAGAGTAGACAGAAGGCAGGATAGGTAGGGACTGGTAAAAATTGAGACCTAGGTAGGGTGCCTCTGGACTGCAAGGATGCTTGGGCGCTTAACATGGTTGGTGGTGGCCAGCAATGCGGTATAGATGAGGTGGCCTGCTTGAGAAAGGCAGAGGCCTGTGTGGAGGTGTCCAGTGGCAGAATTAGGTGGGTGTGCCCGGGGTGGGAACAGTTTTGGTGGGCGTGGTTCAGGCTGGACTGATACCTGAAGATGTAGGCCAGAATTTTCCAGTTTAGAAAAGTAGAGGGTGGGAGGTGGAAATTGAAATGGAGACCCAGCAAGATTTGAGGTTTGATTTGAATTAAAGCAAAGTGGATGTCAGATTGTACTGTTTTTATGATGAACCAAGAGACTGTCAGGTATGTTTGGGATGAGAGGGCCTTCAGAACCGGAGTAATTGAAATCTGGGTATGAGGAGTGGGGTAATAGATTTTTGGATGTGACCACAAATATGACAAGGAATGAGGAGATTCGGTCAGGGGCATGGAGGTGCCTGATAAGAATCTAATTGTGACTGACATTTGGAAATGGCTGATGGGAAGGTGGAGACCACGACTGACATTTGGGTGGGATTTAGGAGCAAGGGGTGCTTTGCTTATAGGGTTAGGATTTGAAGCAATGGGGAAGATAGGTTTGGGAGACAAACAGGTGCTTTGGAGGTGCCTGAGGTGAGAAGTGAGGGTGCTGGGAGCTGATGGAGTGAGATTGAGTGAGGGCTGCATTTTAGGGTGACAGGTGAGAGAGACTCTGGGGTGGAGGCTGCTGGAGTGCCAGGAGTGGGTAGGCTCCATGTGAGGGCAGTGGGCTTCATCACTGGCACATTGATTTACAGGGTTGAAAAGAAAATTGAAATGTAGGAACTAGGGAATGAGGGAGCCCAAAGGGTGAGAACTAAATGATGGGTGGGAAAGGATGGTGTGCCCAGTGGGGGTGACAGCCAGTGCTGAGTGTAATACACTTCAGGGTGAGGTTTTTTGAGTACAACTTACTCTTGAGTAAGAGTGCAGTGCCTTAGATCTGGGAGTGTGGGTGTTGGTATTGGGGTGGTGGAGATTTTAAGGTATTGGACAGGCTCTGCCAGTGTCTGATACAGGGCCACAGTGCTGGTTGTGGTTAGGAAAAGTTTAGGGATACAGTTAGTGAGCATAGCTTGTGAACAAACAAAGTAAAGCTCGAATGGGAGCCAGAGTGTCTTCTTTGATACCAGAGTGGAAATTAAGAAGACAGACCATAGATTTGGAGTCCCTGGGGATGTGGGTGAAGTTGGAGTGGACAAGACTAGTGATTAGACTGGTAAGACAGCAAGAGCATAACCCTTAGTCCAGCTGGGAGCAAAAGCGCGGCTTTAAGAGGACAAATCTAAACACCAAACCCACAAGGGGAAAGGTCTAGAAGGGGAGAGAGAACTGCCTGCATCTGACTCTTCCTTTCCCTGCCTAGCTCCCCTGGGTGAGAGAGACAGAGACAGAGACAGACAGAGACACACACACAGAGAGGAGAGAGAGAGAGTGAGTGAGAGTGAGTGTGTGTGTGTGTTACTATTACTGGGGTTTGAACTCAGGGCCTCCAGCTTGGTAACCAGGCTCTCTACCAGTTGAGCCATGCCTCCAGGCCTCCCCCTTTTTAAAAAACAGTCTCCTTATTGTGGGGTTTTTTTTTTTTTTTTTAATTTACAGTCAGTAACCTGTCATGTATCAGAATCATATCCACAAAGGACAACCTGAACTTTCAAACATTCTTGCCTAACTTAGAGGAAGAAGAAAGGGCATGAACTTGAGCCGAAAAGTGCTCAAAGCCTATCTTAATGTGTTTGTGAGGCAGGGCTTCCCAACCTGCTGTTTGCTGACTTCTTCCTCTGCAGCTTTAAGGGGGGTGCCCCTCTGATCAGAAGCTGGCCTGCTGTTAGGTTTTGGGGCAGGTGTCCTGCCCATTGCCAGGGGTGGGTGGACCTTCTTGCTCCCCGCTTAGGGATTGGTCTTCACACCTCGCCTCCTACCTAATAGCACAGAGAGTCCTCATTAATTGGCTGGCGTGGGTGTGACTGGCTCAGTCCTTTACCCACCTGCAGCTTTGACAAATACTTGGTTATAATCCACTTGTATGAAGCAAGAATGCTTGCAGCCCTGCTATGGACTGTTTGAGGTTAGAGCACAGTTGAGGTTGCATTTAAGAGCAAGTAGAATGGAGAAGACAGTTGCTAAGCCTGGGACTGGGGGGGATAGATGGGGAAGAGTTTGTAATAAGCTGGGTAAGACGTGTGACAGTGGAGGAACTTGGGGCTGGGTGACTTAGAGCTAAGCAGTCTGGAGCGTTTCTGCTGGGACCATCTGGGACTTGAGGTACAGGTACTAGAGAGGATAGACTGTGGTCAGGGTGGGAGCTGGGTCTGAGCTTTGCCAATTGTGGGGAGAGCTCGCCATGCTGGGATGTTTGAATGGAGAGAAAGCAGCATTAGGATTGGAGGGGAAAGACTTAGAGGCCTGGGAGAGAGGGGACACAGTGACACTGAATCACCAGTGGAACCTTCCTTTTGTGTCTGTTAATTCTGAAGGTGGGTCATGAGCCGATGCCCCCTACCCTTGGGACCAATGTGCTGGGGAGGAAGGTCCTCTATCTGCCAAGCTTCTTCACCTACGGTGAGTGCGTGTCCCTGCCAGGAAGCCCACGCCACAGGCCGTAGCCCCAGGGAACTGCTGCACGCCTTGACACCCAGAGTTGGCACCTACCAAGGGAATTGAGATTGGTCATAGGCGGCAGGGTGGCGGGCAGGGACAGGTGAGCATTACAACTTTGGTCTAGAGCCCTGCCTGCAGCTGCCAGCCACCAACCCAGTCAGCAGGGGACAGACAGGTGCCTAAGAAAGAGCCATTCCAGGGTACTAGTCCCTGTTGCGCCTGCCACCCCATGCTTTGCCTTCTGACCAGCTCTTCTGCTCTTTGCTACTCCAGCACGAGGTCTTGGCTGGCCCTCAGGCAGTGCCTTCTGTGCCACCTGGCTGTCCTATTTTCTCTGCATTCCCCGGCACAGCACCCACTCACTCTGGTGGCTCCAATCCACTGCTTATAGAGCTTCATGCAGAGTCGTAGCTTTGCTGCTTGTGTCCCTACTTAACCGTGAGCTCCGACAAGCACCCACCTTCTCTGGTCCTGCAGCTCCTTGTCTGTGAAATAAGGTCAGCTGCTCATGCCCAAGTCCTTCAAGTCCCCTCCTACTGGCTCTCCCTTCTGGGAGGTCTGTCCACCAGATGCCCGCCTCACTGTCTCCACTGCCCTCACCTGGCCCACAGGTGCCAGCTGGCCAGGGCCTTTTCTAGTCTACTATAGCTGTCTCTGGCCCAGTACCCACCCTTGCCAGGTGACCATGATGGCACTTCTATAAACATGCCCTTTATCTCCATGTTCACATTAGACTTGTCCACTTTTGGTCAGTCCAGCATGTTCTCTGAATAATGTGGGGCTTTGCCACCATGTCACCTTTTCCACTTTACACACTAATTGTTAGCAGAATCATATTTCTTTTCCAGTTTCATTCCCTCCCCCCAATAGATGAGTGCAGAGTTGGGCCAGGGAGAACATTGTTTTCTGGAGAAACGTGTTTGTGTTTGTTTATATTTTAAAATTGTGAGTGTAGAGGAGCGGAATCACAGAAGAAAAATGCCCAGCCTCGCACAGGGAAGCCAGTAGACAGAGGTAACATTAGGTGTGTGGGTAGCCAGGGCCGACGGCCGCCAGCCCCCACATCAGCGTTTCTCACGTCTGCTACATGTGCTGTGCGTTGACAGAGACCATCTGTACTCACGTCACACAGCCCTTCTGAAGGCTTCAAGATACAGCCATCTTGACCTCCATCTTAGGGCCAAAGAGGAAGTGAGTTCTGAGTGTCCCCTGTTTCAGTCCACATATGAGCAGATGTCCATTGAACCTTCTGGACGCTGTAACCTGCTCTACAGACAGAACTATCTGGACAGACAATATCTTCTCCGTCCTCACATTGTGGGGATCACTACAGTTACCCTGCAGTTCTCTGTGTAAAAGCAAGACTTCCTCTGGGTTTCCAGGCCCTGCAGAAAGCCCTGGAAGTGATGGGACTCTGGCTAGCTCACAAGGGCCTCCGTAGACATTTCTGCATGTTTTCCTTTGCTCTTACTTGTCCATGTTTCATCTGTGAAATGGGAGAAGGAGGGGTCCTGGCTTCTTTTGTGCTGTGGGTGGAATGCAGTATTTTTCCCTCCCCTTTGCTGACTAGGATCACCCTCCTTCAGACAGAACCTTCCTCTGTCCATCTTTCATGTGGCGGCAGTCCCACTCCAGTGTCTCCTTACATTATAGCCCACCCCTCTCAGGAATCCACGTGTGCAGGTAGCAGGTGTGCCCCACCCGCCCAGTGGAGACCTTTCCTGGCTGTGATGTGGACTTGCTGGGCTGGCAGACATGTTGCAGAGAACAGGATGCATTTGCTTGTCACTACCTCTGTGTGGTGCTAGAGAGCTGACATCATGGGTCTGAAAGAGGGGGTACCCATTGTCCGACAGAATATTCTGCTAGCTTCCAGGCATGCATTTATAAAAACACATCACCTTTTAAACACTTTAAAATGTAAAATAAAAAGTTCTGGATGTTAGATGTTCCAATTAGATGTAAAGCACAATGGTGGGACATGAAAGTCTCGCTGGCAGGAAACCCTAGCGAGACCCACGCTCACCAGGCTGCTCTGGCTCTTGACCACCTAGGATCCTTGGGAGAATTGCCCATTGCTGTTTCTGTTTTAACCACTGATAAGTGCCAACAGGTGCCATGTGTCTTGAGAGCGGCACAGTAAGAGGGCAGATCTGTCTTGGTCATGGTGTGGTCAGAGGGCATTCTCAAGCCTATCCACACAGCCTCAACCCCCTTCCTTTTTTTTTTTTTTTTTTTTTTTTTTTTTTTTTTAGTGATACTGGGGTTTGAACTTAGGGCCTGTACCATAAGCCACTCTGCCAGTCTTTTTTTGTGATGGTTTCTTTCGAGATAGGGTCTCGCAAACTGTTTGCCCAGACTGGCTTTGAACCGTGATCCTCCTGATCTTTGCCTCCTGAGTAGCTAGGATTATAGGCGTGAGCCACCGGCACCTGGTTTTGTTTTTGGTTGTTTTTTTTTTTTTTTTTAATGACAACAGAAACTGGTTTTGGATCAGCACTTAAGTTGCTGAGTTGAGAAACCACAGCTGAGTTTGCCAAGTAGCTTTGAAAGCTACAAAAGAAAAACGTATGAACTTGCTTATCAGAAAAATGTTCTGAAGGTTTTATGGAAAGAAACAAGCTAGATTAGCTTCGAGGCTCTAACGGATGCTCCCTCTACCTCTGCTCTCTTACAGCCAAATACATTGTGCAGGTGGATGGGAAGATAGGGCTGTTCCGGGGCCTGAGCCCCCGCCTGATGTCCAACGCCCTCTCTACTGTGACCCGAGGCAGCATGAAGAAGGTGAGCCTGGGGTTTCCCAAACTCTTACCTGCACCAGAGGCGGCCCGTGTACCCTGGTCCTGCTTCCCCCTTCTGGACCCCAGCGCCATGGCTGGGCTCCAGACTCTGGTGGCCAAACCCCCAGTCTTGTGCTTGGGAGCCCCCTGGCCCAGAGTCTTCCCTCTTGTCCAAGTTGGGACAGTGGCTGTCTCTCATCCTGCACTCCAGACCGAGAGTTACCTGAGTGTCCTTCAGAGTTACGTCTGAGAGGCTGGCGGTACTTTGCTCTCTGCCCACTTTGCGTTTTGTGTGTCAGGTTTTCCCTCCAGATGAAATCGAGCAGGTTTCCAACAAGGATGATATGAAGACCTCCCTGAAGAAAGTCGTGAAGGAGGTGTGTGTGTAGAGTTGGTGAGGAAGAAGGCCAAGTCTGGTTATTTCTCATCCTGAATTACACGGGTCTTTGTGCTTGCCCAGGTAGATGGTGTGTGGAAGGAGCCCCAGCCAGGACACCACAGGGGATCCCAGAAAGGGTCTGCTGCCCTGGGCCTGGCGCCTTCCTGGGGGAGGAGGGCAGGAGCAAGGGGTGAACAGCACCCTTGGCCAACTGACCCTATGTGGAGTCAGTTTGAGTGACCCATGGGCGTGTAGCTCCCCATAAGAGCCTGTCCCAGATGTAGGCCTAAAGGCATCCCCACCTCTGCTCTCTTCTAGACGTCCTATGAGATGATGATGCAGTGTGTGTCACGCATGCTGGCACATCCCCTGCATGGTGAGCCGCCCGGGACACTGCCTTTGTGCCCTGAGTCCAGGGTGGGTGGGCAGGGTGTGGGATGGCCCTCCAGGCTATAGATGGGCAGTGGGAGGTGGTGGAGATGTAAGACTGGTCAGGGGTCCTTTCAAAGATGGTCCACTCTTTCCATGCAAAGGTGGGCTGCTGTGGTCCAGGGTTGAGAGGCCCATTCTCCTGGCCCTGACATGGCCTGTGTTGTATAGTGGCCTCTGCATTAGACACCCCATGGCCAGGCTGTCATGACATGACATGTCACCAAGTCACCTCTGTGTGTTTTCTCCTTCCCCAGTCATCTCAATGCGCTGTATGGTCCAGTTTGTCGGACGGGAGGCCAAGTACAGGTGGGTATTTATTCTTAGGACAGGCCACAGGGCCATGCCGGGTCAGTCGCTATACCTTTTCTGATCTCCTTCTATGATAGTTTGGCCTGCTGTCTCATATCAGAGGAATGTAGCAGTGTCTTCTGTGGTCGTCCCCAGGGGCATTTTCTCTTCTCCAGAACTGATTCTGCCCCTTAGGACTGAGCTGGGATCCCCTCCTGGACCCCCTACATTATGTCCTGATGGTTTCTGTGGCTTTTAGTTGTTCTAATCTGCTCAGTTGTCCACCTGTGAGCTTGGGGCTCATCTACTCACTTGTATGCCTCACTCCTAGATCTGCTGCTTTTTGAGGCACTATGTATTTCCTGTTCCTCTAGGCTCCGTGCAGGACAGGTGGCAAGTCCTGGAGGCATGTGACCCAGGGACACATCTGAGTTACTCTTTTCTCTGGTTATCATTTTCCAGGGTTAGCTGTTTTCTGCAGCTGTCCTGTGGTGTCACCGCTGTAAAAAGTTCAGCTGTTATGGTGCCTCATTTTGGGTTCACTCATGGGAGTTAGTGGCTTGTTGCTCTAGTCTTCCACCCCAGCAATGACTATGCAGCTGGAACCACATGGGACTGTTGTGAGAAGAGTAGTGGATGTGGTAGGGCTGGGGCCCCAGGACCCACACTAGCCAGGGTTTGGGCTCAGCTCTCTTCATCAGCTGACCTGCCCCCTTCTACCTGGGCATGGCCACTGACATTCCTAGCTACAGGTCGCAGCTGAAATTATTGACACTCCTTTGCATGTCACATCTAAGATACCACAGCGTGTTCTCACAGGCTGGAGTGGCAAGGCCCGGTTCCCCAAGCTCACCACCAAGGGAGCCACGTGCCTTTTCCCAGGCTCATCCAGGATTCCCCAGCTGTAGGGTCCTTTTTTTGCCCGGGAGGGTGATCTTTTCTCCTTCCCAACCCCTCCTCTACCAAAAGGTTGCTTGGTCACAGATAAGCCCTGGGGCCAGGCAGGAGAAGGGCCTGCTGCTGCTGTACTGGGACCCATATGGAACTTCACTGCTAAATCACAGATTCCTTGGAAGACATTAGGAGAGGGCTGCCAGGTCTTCTGTCCCTATGAGTCATTAGGTTTCCTGTCCCCCTGAACTGTATAAATTTCCATCACCCCAAACGAGAGCTTTTTCTTCTTTTTGAGTTGGGTTCTTCCTGAGGACAAGACTGGCCCTTCTCAACCTGGCCAGGACTGACTGGATCTGAGTGGGGATGGAGGGTGGGCTTCTGCTAAGTGACCAGGTGACCTGCATCCCTGTCTTGTCTCCTTCACAGTGGTGTGCTGAGCTCCATTGGGAAGATTTTCAAAGAGGAGGGGCTGCTGGGATTCTTTGTGTACGTGAGTTTATAAACCATCCCATAACCAGCCACAGCACGACTCTACTAACAGGCGTGTTCTTGAGCTCTCAGACCACAGCTGCTGTCCTCAGACCACCCACAGGTCTCTGCTGCAGCCTGAGTAGTTGCAGCCCAGCTTGGTAGCACTTCATAGCATATTGGAGCTTCCTGGCCCTTTTCAGGTCACCACACACATAAAAATGGAACTGGGCTGGAGGTACAGCTCATCGGCAGAGTGTGTACTCAGTATGCACACAGCCCTGGGTTCTACCCCAGCACCACACACACACACACAAAGGAACTGTTTGAGCCAGGCACCAGTGGCTCACATCTGTGATCCTAGCTACTTGGGAGACTGATATCAAGAGGATCACAGTTAAAGGCCACTTGGGGCAAGGTGTTTGCAAGATCCCATCTCAACTTCTACCTGAGCACAGTGGCACATGCCTGTCATCCCAGTAATGGCAGGAAGCATAAAATATGAGGACATATTTGTCTAGGCCAGCCTAGACAAAAAGTGAGATCCCAGTCTCCAAAACAACCAAGCAAAAGGGCTGGTTCAAGCGGTAGAGTGCCTGCCTAGCAAGTGTGAGGCCCTGAGTTCAAAGCCCAGTACTGCAAAAACAAAAAAACAATAACAGAAAAACAAACAACAAAAAAAGGAACCATTTGTCCTGTTCACTGGGAAATAAACCATCCAGCCCCTGCCAGGCCCCATCTGTTCACTCCAGGGCTGTGAACAGGCAAGGAGGTGGTCTTCATGAACCCAGGGTTCTGCACAGTCATGGTTTCACTGCCAAAAATGACAAGAAATCTGGGACTTGGACTGGGGGTTGAGCGTTGGCTACTCCAGGCTGACTCCAGCCAGTGGTTTCTGTTTTGACAAATTAGTTAACATGTGACATTCAAGATATTTCATGCAAAAATCTGTATTTCTGGCTTCTCTTGAAAAGTCAGAAAGTCTGGCCCTGCTGGGCCTGCATTTCTGTAGAATAGCTGTCAGCTGGGGCCCGGGGGCTATGCCTCTGGCAGGGCAATCAGTCTCCTGATGGCCACAGGTGCCTGCACCCTGTTGTCTCAGGTCCAGTTACCTTGCCTACTGACAAGACTTGAGAAAGAGTAAGCCACAAACAACCCAGAAGCCAGGCTTGACAAGTGTGTTTTTGCGTGACGCACAGCTGTTGTGTGTGTAGTGTGCTGGTGTTGGTTTTCCAGTTTGCCAAATGGTTACTTATGATCCCTGTTAAACCAAGAAACAGCTATTGAGTAGGATGTGTATGTGAGTACACAAGTAGGCATGAGTGTGTGCATGCCTGTGCGTGTATGTACTTCTCTACAAGAGGTGGTTTGCTCCCCAGGGAACATTGGCAATGGAGGGGATCCTGTGGCTGAACATGCCACAATAAAGAGGACAGCCCTATGACACAGAATTACTCAGCTCCAAATATCATAGTGCCAAAATTGAGAACTCCCAGTTCATGCTCACACTTACATGTGGACATACACACGTATGCATGTATGCAAATGTATGAAGAAGTATTTGCCCATGAACCTGTCTTGAAAGAGTGATCGGCGCCCTGGGACCTGATCTCTGGCATCTTTCACACTGGGTAGCTCCATTCCACTTCATGCCGTCTAGCTCTGTGAGTGTCTGTGAGTGGGATTTCTGCCTAGCGTGAGGTTTTCTGAATGGGTCACACGTGTTATAGTCTGTACTCAGTATGCACCGAAGGGCAGGTGTGCATAGTCAGTCTGCACACAGGCAGAAGCAGCAGGAGAGGAAATCACTTTCACAAAGGTTCATTTTATTGATAGTTCTCAGAACATAGCTGTTATGTACTCTTGAATGCTTCATGTGCTTTGTAATATGACTTTTTTTAACCCTTCAAAAATAGTAATTCTTTTCCTGCCAAGGGACAGCCATTCTTCTAGAGAGCCTCTGTGGGCACTGAATACCCACCCAAGCAAATAAGCACCTTTTAGAAAGCACAAGGGGCACATGGGGACTCCAGATCTCAGGTGGGCTTGTGCCCTTAGCACTGTGTCTTAGGGAACCTTCCCAGTGGGCCTTGTAGAGCTGTTTGCCCTAAAGATTGTCACTCTGCAGGGCAGCCCTCCTTGCAAACAGTCGCATGGAATAGTGTCCGTGGAACATTCCATAGTGAAGAGAACAGATGTTGAGCAGTGCTTTTGTGAGGCAGTTAGGTAAAGAAGCCAGGGGGAAGCTACCAACATGTCACTCTTTCATGGTCTGCATTTGAAAGTGCCTTATGTGCTGGGCATGGTGGTGCATGCCTGTAATCCCCCACCCGGGAGGCTGAGGAGGAGGATTGTGAGTTCAAGGCCAGCCTGAGCTACATAGTGAGTTTGAGACCCTGTCTTAAAACAAGCAAAACAAAACAAAAAGAAAATCCCAGATGTGACAACATTCACACATCTCAATGCCGGGCTTCTGTGGTTTAAAAACTGCTAATGACACCACTAACTATTATTTATTAGCATTGGAAGTGGCATCTAACATCTCCCTGTGTGAGGGACACTGCCTTTGTGCTAAGGGTGGCTACTGGTGCCCGTGGCCCTGCAGGCTCCCCTCCAAGGGCTTGTGATGGATATGCTGCTGTTTTGAGCTTGGAGCATCCCTACCTGCTTCCTGGGCCTGGAGCGCAGGAGCTCTCTCCTCCGCCCCCACTCATCTTTGCTCACCTTGTTTTTTTAGTGGCTTAGTCCCTCACCTCCTGGGCGATGTGGTTTTCTTGTGGGGCTGTAACCTGCTGGCCCACTTCATCAATGCCTACCTGGTGGACGACAGCGTGAGTGACACCCCAGGGGGGCTGGGGAACGACCAGAACCCAGGTTCCCAGGTTGGTTGGAACAAGGACTTGTCTTTCTTTCCTTGTACTCCTGATGTCCGTACTCTGGGGATAGGCTTGAGAACTTGGGGGGTTTCTCGTCCCAAGGGTGTAGCCAGCTTCACCTCAGAGGAGATGAGATTCCATGTTGGTGCCCTGCCTGGGAGGGGACGATGGAGTGTGTGCTTCTGGGCAGCCCTGGAGAGACTGCAGTTTCTCTGAGCTGCTTTAAGGCAGAGGCCCACTAGGGCTCAGGAAATTGATAGATACTAAGAGCCATAATCCTTTAACTTATGCTTCATATTTTATGCTTTCAAAACCTTCTGTGGCTGCCGGGATGGTAGATGCCTGGAATCCCAGCACTGAGGGTGCTGAGGCAAAAGAATCGAGACCCAATCTCAAAAAAGCAAAATACAAAATAAAGCACAGCACCCTTTCGTGAGCATCCTGCCCTTCCCTATGACACTGATTGTCAAGGGAACGGACAGCTGCAGCATCCTGGTTCCAGATAACAGAAATCGAGGCCCAGAGATTAACCGGGCCTCAGAGTCAGCCCGAGCACGCCACAGAGGACTCAGTCTTTCACTGTGTCAGGCTCGCCCTGTTTTTGGCAGTAGTGGTCTGTGCAGACCAGGCACAGGATGGCCTGGTTCTTCCTGGCACTTACTGAAGAAAGCGCCTGGGCACCTGACGGGTTGATGGGTTCTGATGGACCAAGCTAAGGGTTTAAGGAGCCGCCATGGGCTGGGATGCCTGGAAGGATAGGTGAGGGGCCTGGGGACTTGTGTGCCAGAATCACCTGGGGGAGGGCTCATGGCCCACATGTGTCTGTTGGCCCAGTCTGGTGACTGGGATTGGGGTGGCCCCAGATGAGAGCCTCCACTCGCAGGGAGTTTGACCTCCCTTTGACTTGGGTAGGTGAGTCAACTGGCCCTTCAATGTCAGCAGATTAAAGTGCTTCCTAGACACCCCTCCCACCTACAATTACCGGGACAAGCGCCTACAACTCGCCTTTCTCGGGGGGCCTTGTGGGCAGGTGAACTGCTGCTGTCACCTACAGAGCCAGGCTGTGACTTGCAGAGGTGCCTTGGCATGGGGAATACTGGTTGACGGGTTTCTTGGGTCCAAGTGGGCAGCTGTCTGCCCAGAGGCAGGTGCTGTGAGAAGTTTGAGGCTAAGATGAGGCCACCAGGCCTGCACAGCCATCCAGCAGAGGCTGAGCAAATCCCTCCGTAGGGTGCATGACCACTTCACAGGATGCTGAGGGACAGGTGATCACCTATCGTAGGTAGAGGCCATTTCCAGAGCAAAGTCAGTTTTCAGGAGCTGGGGTCTTGGTTTCACCCTTCACTAAGGGGTAGAAACTTGGTGAGATGGGGGTTGCAGTAGCCCAGAGCTTCCCCACCCCTTATGCCACAGGGCCAGACTTTCATTTCTGGGTAGTAGACTGGGGCTCTGTCCTTCCATTTGGGAATCCCTTGCTGAACCCTAACTTTGCCAAGCCCTGGGCAGTGGTCAGGCAGATGTAGGCCATACCTGGGGGCTCACAGCCCTGTGCAGTTCCCAGCAGCAAGTGGTCCTGCGTCCGCAGCTTCATCATGGAACTCCCTTCAGCCCAGTAACCTGTTCCACCTCTGAGCTCTTCTCCTGGCTCTGAGTATGAGTCACAGAGGCAGCTGGCCCAGGAGGGTGCAGAGGGTGAAGTGCGGGGCTGCAAGCAGATGCCTGCCCCTGAGGTACTTGCAGCAAACCATGCTTCCTTTCTGTCCCCGCAGTTCAGCCAGGCCCTGGCCGTCCGGAGCTACACTAAGTTTGTGATGGGGGTAAGTCAGGCCAGCTGCCCTTCCCTTCCCTTTCCTGTGGGCTTGGGTGGGCTCAGGAGGCCACCCCTGTTGTGGCTAGATGCAGGTCCTGGTGTGTGGCATTGGCACAGTGTCTCTGCTGGCCCCAAGTGTGCCAGCAGTGGGTGGGATGCCAGCACTCAGGTCTCTGGGTTTCAGATTGCAGTGAGCATGCTGACCTACCCCTTCCTGCTCGTTGGAGACCTCATGGCTGTGAACAACTGTGGGTACGTGTGCACCCCACCACTTGGTCCCTACCCCACCAAGATTTCTGGAGACACCTGGCTGAGCAGTGCTGCCCCTCCCTGCCACTGTGTGTGGCTTTGGGATTCATCAAACTCCTGAGTGGGAATCTGGTCTCAGGACGTGGGCAGGTGGCGACTCCAAACCAGTGCGTTGACGTTACCTTTGTCTCGGCTGATCTCTCACTCTTCTCCGGGTCTCACCCGCCCCTCTTCCCTGCAGGCTGCAGGCTGGGCTCCCCCCTTACTCCCCAGTGTTCAAATCCTGGATTCACTGCTGGAAGTACCTGAGTGTGCAGGTAAGCGAGTACTGGAGGGAGGGGCTGCTCCCATTCTTTGCCACCTGGGTCAGAAGAACTGGTTTTCTAGACTCCTCATTTCCTGGGAGGACAGGGGCCTCATGGAATTGAATCATGGGAGCAGGGTGCATAAAGAGAACATAGATACTTGCTTTAAGGCATTCACATTTTCATCTTGTCTTATTTCAAAAGGATCTGAGGTGGCCAAGTTGGGATTTATTTAAAAGTTATGCATTAGATTTGATCCCCAGTACTAAAAAAAAAAAATTAATTAATTAGTGGTCTGTCCAGCTTCTCAGGAGGCTGAGGTAGGATTTACTTGAACCCAGGAGTTCAGGGCCAACCTGGGTAACGTAGACCCTGTACCTTTAAATAAATAATAAAAATTATACATCAGATTGAGCCTTCTTTTTTCCTTTGGGTGTTAAAGACTCTTAGGACAAGGAAAAGGCTGGTCCTGTCCCCACAGTAGGTCATACAGCTCAAGAACAGCTGGTGTGTTGGAGGCTTAACCTCTTACACACATCCCAGGGCCCAGCAATTCCTGAGGGTGGAGCTGGGCCTGGTGGGGAGCAGCCTTGGGTTCTAGAATCTTGTGCTGAAGCCATGTCCTGCTGGCTGGAGCTCTTAGGCCCAGGGACAGGCTTCTGGGCCCACCTCACCTTTTTTTGGTCTCGGTGTGCTTCACATAAAATGAGGTATTGACCTGGGGAGGACCCAGAGCACCAAGTGGCCTCTAAGTTAAGAGGAAGATGGAAGGGAGGGGACGAGGGATGAAGAGACAGACAAAGCCCCCCCTGCCCACCGGCACCTCCAGTAGCCTGCCTGCATCGCTTCTCCACTTGTGTTACGAGTTCTGAACCTCTTGGGCTTTGAAGCCAGAGAGCAATGAGTCCCTCTTTGGGCTTGGGTTCTAGGCATGAAGTGAACCCCTCCCTTCTGCTGTGGTGCTCGCTGATTTTGACCTTAGCCTTCCCCATTCCTCCACCTCTGCCTTGGCCTCTGAGCTCCTACTGCCTGAGGGTAATAAAGAAACATAGCCTCCCCTTTTACTGGCTCTGCTGTACCTTCCCACCCAGGGTCAGCTCTTCCGTGGCTCCAGCCTGCTTTTCCGCCGGGTGTCATCAGGATCCTGCTTTGCCCTGGAGTAACCTGAATCACAGTCTCAGCCTGGCCCTGGGGGAGGCCCGCTCGTCTTGGGACACCTGCAGAGCAACTCCAGTCCAGCCACAGCTTCATTTGTTCCAGCCTAGCTGGGCTTCAGTTTTCATATCGCCGTGTGTCTGTCCAGGTGTGGGGTCAGAGGGGGTAGGCTGTACCTAGTGGAGGGGCTACCTGTTAGACCTGGGGAAGGTGGGGTTGGGGTGTAGTGCTAGGGATGGAACCCAGGGCCTTCTACATGCTAGACAAGTCACTGAGCGACACCCCAGCCCTGGTGTTGTAGGATTGGGGTGGAACCCCCTTCCCAGGTTTGCTGAGTCTCCCTTGGAGAAAAGCTGGAGGCCAGAGGTGGATGAGGAAAGGCTATTGGGGTCAGGACCCACCCCTCACACCCTCCAGGCAGCCCAGCTCTCCTGCTTTGTAGGCCACAGTCATGTCTAGAAGGCTGATGCTAGGCTCCGCCTTCGTTTTCTCAACACTACTTTTCTGATAGTGGATGCGGTACTGTCTGAATGGGAAATCATGTGACTCCTCAAAATGTATCCCTCTCACCTGCTTGTTGTGTAATGGTGACGCCACATGTCAGAATCTGGTTACCTGTGCTGTTGTGAATACACAGAAGTTAGGCAGATCAGTGTCTCTAGTCCTACCCAGTTTTAAAACTTCATGGTAAGATTTCATCCCATTTCCCTCAAATAAATGTACTCGTGGTGATTTGGAGTTTTGTGGGGAGGCTCTTTCTTGTGTGGGTGAGCTTAAAAAATCTTGGAGTCTTTCTCAGCTTTCACGTTCATGTGACACAGGGCTGTCAGGCAGCAGGACTATGGGCTGCCCTGCCGGAGATGAGAGGTGCCAGGTGTGGGGTGGATCAGTCTCGGGGAGGTCAACAGTTCTAAAATGCCAGTCACAGAGCAGCAAACGGTGCTGAGGCCTTTACCAGGGAGGCAGACCTTTCAGAGTGTTCCAGACTCCCAGCTAGCCACGCAGCACCTTTAAAAGATAACCTTTTTTTTTTTTTTCTGGTGGGTCTAGGGTTTGAACTCAGAGCTTTGTGCTTGCAAAGCTGGTGCTCAATCACTTGAGCCACACCTCCAGTCCATTTTGCTTTGGTTATTTTGGAGATAGAATCTCTCAACTATTTGCCCAGGCTGGCCTCAAACCTTGATCCTCTTGATCTCAGCCTCCTAGGTACCTAGAATTCCAGGATGAGCCACTGGCACCTGGCTATGCTCAGCTTATTGAGATGGGGTGTCACTCACTGTATTTTTGCCCAGGCTGGCCTTGAGCTGAGATCCTCCAAAGTAGCTGGGATTACAGGCGTGCACCCCCGCCCCCAGCCGAAGATAACCTGTCCTCAAGTTTTCTGAGTTATTTGGTACAATGGCTGCATGAATGTAGCAGAAGAGGCTGACTCCCATTTATTTCTGCCCAACATGGAGGTGTGTAAACAGAAAAAATGCACAAACATTTTGGGGTCCAGTTGGATTTCCTCAGGTGTTTCTCTGCCCTTGGTCCAGGGACCTGGGTTATGAGAGTTGGGGTCTGATGACTGACATACTTCCCTTAGAGGTGTGGGCTGGATCATCTCTAGGGAAGGCCCCAGGATGCTTGTGCAGAACTGTCGCCCAGTGGCCTATGACAGTTGATTCCCAAGGATACAATGACACCTGTGTGGACGTTGTGTCCGTGGGCAGTAGTTGAGGTCAGTAAGGTTTCATAACTTTGTAAGTCATGTTCCCTTTTCTAGGTAGACTTACCTCCCACAGCTGAAGTGGTGGGAAGGAGAACACACATCAGGGTCAGCAGGCCACACCTTAGTGGCACCATTCTTTACAGCAGACAGGGCTCAGGTCCCCCGAGGGGATTCACCTCATGGCCTGTTAGCTTTCTCTAGCTCAGCCTGGTTTCCCACAGCACTGACTGCTGTACTGGGGTAACTTCTTCCCCTTGTTCTGCCCTCAAATCCCACTTTTGCACTCATTACTTCCTGTGGTTCCCCAGATTTAGGGGCACTTGTATCTCCGGAGCTGAGCTGAGATGGGCCTCCAGAGCCACTCCCTCTTGACAGCTACATCCTCCCAAATACTGGGAGAGGCCACCTGGGCTGAGATCAAGGCTGTGGGTGGACTTGGCCTTCACCTTGGGAAGGCCAGTACTGGCTCCAATTTAATATCCTGGGGTTTCTGAATCTCAGGTGTTGCCTGTCATTCCTGGAACAAGAATGAAGGGTCCTTACCTGAGAAAGGAGATTTGGTAGGCTTGGGGCAGGAGGGGCGCTGATGTCACCAGGAGGAATGAGGGAAGTGGACATGGCATTGACAGGAGCCAACCACCTTCTCCCCCTTTAAAACCTTATTCTGATAGGCAAAGTGGGAAGGGCCTTTTGCAGGCCTTTTGGGGTCCCTCTTGTAATGAAACCTGAGGGCTCTGCAGCAATTCTTGTCACACGTGCCGACCCCCAGATGCCTAGAGCCTTGAAGCACAGTATTGGAGACCACTCCCCACTCTGGTCCTCAGGACCTCTGAGTACCAGGCCCTCTGTCCTCTGTTTAAATATGTCTTAACGCACAGGCCTGTGCTGACATGTCCCCTCCTGCCTGTCTCACTGTCACCTGCCCTTTTGTCACAGCCTCGCCGCACTGGTGTGGATACCATGCCCTGTGTTCTTATATTTCCCCAAAAATAAACTTCCCCAGGTCACTGCTCCAGATTTTAGAGAGCCTTTTTCTTATGATGGGTTTCCTACGGGCTCCAACAAATGCTCTTGCTTTGCAAGAGGCAGGTAGAGCCACCCCTAAACTAGGAAAGATAGGTTTGGGTGTCTTTGGGTCCTCCTTGGCCCAGAGGTTCTGGTACCTGAGCCCTCCATAGTCCTGGCACTCGATCAAGAAAACAGACCTGCCAGGTGCTGGTGGCTCATGCCTGTAATCTAGCCACTCAAGAGGATTGTGGTTTGAAGCCACCCAGGCAAACAGTTTGAGAGACCCATCACCAAAAAAAGGGCTGGAGTGGCTCAAGGTGTAGGCCCTGAGTTCAAAACCAGTACTGCAAAGAAAAAAAGACCAACAGGAAGGGATCTCTTCCCCTCCCAGGAGTACAGAATACAGTTCTATCCATGGATTGAAAACCAAAGCCATGTGAGCAGTTTAATAGAGAAAATGTCTTTGACATAAGTCAGCACCCCTTCATGATAAAAACATCAGAAGACTAGGGCTCAAAGGGAACTTTCATCTGTGAAAAAACCTACAGTTAAGATTAGACCAAATGGCATAGTGTTTCCCTAAGATCAGAAGCAAGACAAGGATGTCCAGTCTTGGCCACTTCTATCAGCATTGTATTGGGCCTAGCATGGGCAATTAAGCAAAAACGAAATAAAAGAGTAAAATTACCTCCACCTATAGATGACATGGTCTTATATATAGAAAATCATAAGGAATCTACTAAAAGCCCATATAATCAGTAAGTTCAGCAAGGTTGTAGGATAGAAGATTAATATAAAAATCAATTTTTGCTAGGTACAGTGGAGCACATCTGTAATCCTAGCTATTTGGGAGGCTGAGGCGGGAGGATTGTGAGTTTGAGGCTAGCCCAGACAAAGATCTTACCTCAAAAACAAAATACAAACAAAAGGGCTGGCTGGGGATGTAGCTTAAGTGGTAGAGCACTTGCCTAGGATGTGCAAGGCCCTGCATTCAATTCCTAGCCCCACAACAAAAAAAATTTATTTCTATACATTGAATAAACCAAATGAAATTAATAAAAGTTTCATTTATAATAGCATCAAAAATTATAAAATACTTAGGGATAATTTTGCAAAAGAATTGTGAATCTTTTCTTTTTGCTGGTGGTGCTTGAACCCATGGCAGCAAGTGCTGGACTCCTGAGGATATCGCATGCTCATGGATGCTTTCATGGTAAGATGGAAGATTACACAGTCCGCATCAAAATCTCAGCTACTTCTTGACAGATAGACAGGCAGATCTTAAAATTCCTATGGAAAATGTAAAAGACCCGAGTAGTAAAAACAATCTTGAAAGAGCAAATTGGGAGGCCAGCACCCAGGCAACCCTGTCAACCTGCCTGCTCCCTTCTACTTGGGTTTTTTCCTAGCCCACGGCACTGCTGGACAGTCCTGTTCTGCCCCTGGGGAAGTGTCTGAGGCTCCTCAGTACTCCTCCAGCACCAGAAATGGGTACAGCTCTGCCTAAGGCACATTTCTGACCGGTGCCCCAACAGGCAGCAGCTGTATGCCATCCCTTGATACCGAGCCCCAAACTCATCTACACCACTCTGGTGACTTACAAGGCTGGGAGAGCCAGCCCCTGTCCTCACCCTTCTTCTTGGCTCTTTCCACAGCCTCTACAACCCCCTGTGGCTGGGATGGAAGGTGGGGGACTTCACAGGAAGAAAACTGATGGAGTGTTGGGATGGGGGATGGGGATAGTGGCAGAGCTGGGATTCTGGTGGCCCCCAGAAAGCACTCTGACCACACAAGCACTGTGACTCAGCTCTTAGGCTTTATTTGGGAGTCATGGCTGCCTCCCCACCCTGGTCCCCACCCTCCACCCACAGAACCCCACTTGAGTGGGGCTTGTCCTTTATCCACCCATCACAGTCCCCCTTCCCAGCTGTGCAGGCACTCGGAGAGCCCTAGCCCTGAATGCTGTGCTGGCAGATAGCTCCTGCCCCTGTTCCCGCAACCGTCCTCTACAGGACTCCACTGGTAGGGGGAGGAGGGATCGAAGGTATGCAATCATCAGATGGGCAGCCCCCTGGGCTGGCAGCCAGCAGATGCTGTGGATGAGGCACAAGCCTTGTAGCAAGCCTTGCAGCCTTTCCCTTCCAGAGGGCCTTCAACCAGGAAGCATCTTGTTTGAGGGCTGACAACAGGGTAGGGGGCACAGCAGTTGGGCAGCTGACCTCTTCACTTCATCCTGGGAAGGCAGGAGGCACTTTTGGGGACAGCCCTGGATTCAGATGGCTGGAGGAAGATACTAGGGGACTGGAAGGGGCCCAGGGGTTCCTGGAAGCCTGGGAGAGCAGGCCTGGGGCCATAGGACAACTGGAGACTGGGCACAGGTGGCCACCAGAAGGCATGGGCCTCCCAGAGGAAGAAGCACTCCTAGGGTAGTGCCAGGGGGTGGCTTTGTAGAAGCCTCCTGAGTGCACAAGAGTGCTGGCCTGGAATCTGGCTGGGTGCTAGGGGGAAGAAGGGGTTGCTGGGCCACAGAGCAAGACCTGCCCAGGAAGCTGTGGCCTCCTACTTGGAGAAAGACATTTCAGAGTGGGCAAGAGGCCAAGTCCCCCTACCAGGCCTTGCCTTTGTGTGGTGTCTCCTCAGAAGATTCCAGCCGTCACCAGGGGAGGCAGCAGCAGTAGTCCTGGGAGAGGGCCCCATGAGTGACCAGAATTCAGCCTCACTTCCCCGCCAGGCCTTTCAGGGCCCTCTGCATCTGTGAGAAGGAAGGGGCCTGGGCTCAGCCTTGAGACAGCTATGCCTGGCCTCCCCCACACACCCTACCATGCAAGGAGGCAGGCAACAGCCAGGGAGAAAGCGCCTTCTCAGCCGGTGCATGCTCCACCATGCCCTACAGCCTATGCTGGGCAGGATGCTGCTATTCTGGAGCTGGAGGGGAAGGTAGGGGGCCGCAGGCCTTACCTGGCAGAGATGACTGCAGGGCCAGGGTACGCCCACCCATGGCTTTAGCCGAGTCAGAGACATTGGGGAAATTGGGCAGGGACTTGAAGGAGGTGTGCCCCATGTGGTCCAGTGTGGCCTGCGGCTCACCTGGCTTGTCCTGGGCTGGAAAAACTGAGGCCAAGACCTCACTGGGAGGCAATTCAGCCTCTGCCTCAGCCTCCTCGGGGGCATGGGGTAGGGAATCTGTCCCTGTCAGGGACATCTTGGGGTACAGAGATCTCTCTGGGCTCATAGAGGCTGCGCTTGTCTTGCTGGCTACTTTGTCCACAGACTTTGGGACAGGAATATGGGTGGATTTGGGGAAGGCAACTGGTCTTTCATCCAAGGAAAGCGGGCTGTGAGTTGTCAAAACGGGGGCTTCAGTGGTTAGGGAAGGCGGATCCTCCGTTGCCATGGAGGAGGTGTCTTTCGTTGCTAAGAACGATGGGGCCTTTGTTTCTACAGTAGGCGGGGCCTTCGTTGCCAGGGAGTCTGAGACCTCTGTTAGGGAGACGTGTGGAACGTCTGCTGCTAGGGATGGAGTAGCGGTGTTCCTAGAATCTGAGGCTTCAGTTGTCAGGGTGGATGGGGCCTCGGTTACCAGCTGAGGCAAATCCTGCGCCTCTTCCGAGTCCCTCGTGGGTTCTGATACAATAGGCAAGGCCTGCCATTAGTGCTGCAAACGGGACCCCACATCCTGCAGCCCACCGCAACAAGCCTGCGTCCATCTGGGACGCGCGCACACCGCGCCACACGGCTCTCCAGCGCCATGGAGAAAACCCACGATAACCCACGTTACTGTTTATTGACACAGCTGCTCCTGCACCCACCTCCTCCGCGTTCCCTGCACCAGCCCTAACCTTTTCAGCGGACGACAGGATCCCCGTGCATGACACGCCCACCGCATCGCAGGCCCCGCCCATTCGCGCCCCAGACCACGCCCACTGCGGCGGCACCGCCCTCTGGCCACGCCCACCTCCCTGGGCGCCCGGCTGCCCCGGGACTGTGCTTTGCTCTGCGTAGGGGCCGAAGGTTGAACTCTGGTCACTCGGAATGTCAAGACGCCAAAGTGGCCGCGCAAGGAGGGCAGAGAGATCCGCTAAGGGCCCCTGGGGGTCGCATCCCGCTCGTCTCTGCCGCGCACAGTGTGGGGTCCAGAAACACTGTAGACCTCCCGGAGCCCCCCTCCGCGCTCTCACGCGCCGACTCACCGCAGAGGGCGTTCTCGCAGTGGTAGCCATCCGGGCACTGGGAGCACGGAGGCCCCTCTTGATAGGGCCTTTGTCTCTTCACGTTCCCCCTGCAGGAGGTGAGGACGATGCTGAATGGGGGGGTCGTCCCTTCCAACCGCTGTCCCCATTCCCATATTCGTACTCGTCTGCGTGTACCTCTGGGTCGGCTGAACCTCTAAAAACTTGCTGGGAGAACTTGGGCTCCCCTGGCTCTCTCTGGCTAACGAAAGCAGACCCCATCGGGGCCCTCACAGCGCCCTGGAGGGCACAGGCCCCAGATTACTTACGTCTTTCTTCCTTAGGTGCTGCCCAGTCCCGCCTTCCCCATCCCCGAGGTCCCCAGCACTCACGGGGGCTCGTAGTTGCACACCAGTAATTGGATGTTGGTCTCTTCTACTCCCTGAAGCTTCTCGCAGAAGTGAGAACCACAGCCGATCCTCTCTGTCTTGCTCCAGACCACCTGCAGGAGGGCAAACCCTGCAGCTGAGCCCTGAGCTGGGTGGCACGCCCTCTTACTGGTGTCCCTCTACGTCAGCCTTCTATGGGTGGGAACAGGAGGCATGAAGTTTCAGGACAATATTGAGCAGGGGGATGGTGGGGGGGGTCCCCAGGAAAGCAATAGGGAGGGTGCTGCAACCTCACCATTTCTTGACGTGGGTGGGTGTTTGTTGGAATACCTACCTTTCCCTAAAAATTAGCGCTAAAAATACCACCCAAAAAGAGGTATAGGAGGTGTAGGTGCAAAGGCGGTTGGATTCTTTTTCTTTTGTTTGTCAACAAACAAAATAAGCATTGGGGAAAAAAGAATTCAGTTAGCACTAACATTAACTTCCTTACACACAACTTTCAAAATGCAGTGAGAGGGCCAGCTGTAATCCAGCAGAGATCTGGAGGATCGTGTTTCAAGGCCAGCCTTGGGGGGATAGTGAGACCCCATCTCAACTAATAAACTGGGTGAAGTGGCAGGTACACAAGAAGCATAAATAGGGTCGTGGTCCAGGCTGGCCAGAGCATAAAAGCGAGACTTTATTTGGAAAATAAAACAAAAAGGGCTGGGGGCATGGCCGGAGTGGTAGAGCATCTGCATAGCAAGTGTCAGGCCCTAAATCCACACCCCAGTACCCACAAACAAACAAAAAACCAGCAAGAACCCTGTTATAAGCAAAAAGTAACTGAGAAACAGAGCCTTCCTGGAATGGGGACAATTTTTCTTTTTTCATACATAGTTTTTTTCTTTTTAAGCAAAAATTAAATAAGATTGACTACTTGGTTTTTGAGTCCCTGACAGAGAAGCAGCAGTAAATTAAGCCCGGCATGGAGGCACGCCTGTGATCCCAGCTAAGGAAGCATAGGTAGATTACGGTGGACTTCAGGCAAAAACTCAAGACCTTACCCGAAAAATAGCTAATGCAGAAAAAGGACTGGGGGACGTGGCTCGAGCGATACAGCACCTGCCCAGAAAGCGCGAAAGCCCTGAGTTCAAACCCCAGTACTGCCCAAACACAAAGAAGGCGTCATGATAAATGTCGAAAGCGACAGTGAGAGAACAGAGGGAAGGTGCGGTGCATCTGCTGCTGGGGCGGCCCTGCAGGTTTCAGGTGTTTGGGACGGGACAGTGCAGCCTAGAGCAAGGCACATGGCCGAGGACAGTAACTACCGTCCATGAAAAGGGCTTTCTCACACCGTCTCCTCACTATCAGACGGCCAAAAGGGTGGGCTAGGTTTTCAAACGGTGTGGTTTGTTTTTTTTTTAAAAAAAAGAGTGAAATGAAAATCGCTTAGGCAGTTTAAGAAGCAGTCTTCGTCAGAGGCCTAGAGAGTTCACTAACTGCTGCTCAGAGACGAGTTTCATAAAGCATCTAAGGGGGCTTAGAGTGCAGACCAGCTTTTCTGAAGCAAGAAGGCCCTGAGCGCTCCCGGGCGGAGAAGAGTTCGCCCCATCCCTCTGTGCCCAATCCCGCCCATCCTGCACGTGGCCCCACCCAACACCGCGAGGCCCCGCCCATCCTGCACGTGGCCCCACCCAACACCGCGAGGCCCCGCCCATCCTGCACGTGGCCCCACCCAACACCGCGAGGCCCCGCCCTCTGGGCCGCGCACCTGCGTGTAGTGGCCGCACATCTGGCCAGGGTCGCAGGTGGCGGCGCTGAGGTTGTAGTGCTGGTGCTCGTGGTACCACTCCTGCATGGCCAGCGGCACGTCCATGCCCTCGTCGGTGATGGCGAACAGGTTCTCGCCGCGCCGCCCGCGCTCCTTGTTGTGGCCCCACACGCACTTCTGTGCGTAGGCCTTGGCGAAGGCCGCCAGCTCTTCATCCCATCTCTGCAGGGGAGGTGGGGGAGGGAGGTGAGGAGGCCTCGGGCTTAGGGAAAACCGAAGAGGAAGGGAAGGAGCCAAAGTTCTTTGGGGATGAGCAGAAGGTTGAGAGTGTCCTCGGGGCCTCAGGAGGCCAGAGACCTGTCCACCCAGCAGTCTTGAGGGAGGTGACACCTGGGTGTCACCTGCTCCTGGAGGGCTTCAGTAGGGAGGCAGGAGAGTGCCAGCCCAGGCTGTGGAGTCTGTCAACCTGGGGACCATTTCCTAACTGCGCGACTTGGGCCTAGCCTTTCTGAAGCTCGGGGTGCTGGGAAGTTTGAATGAGAGGATGCTTGTGGGCGTGGACAAGGTCATTGGCGATGTCCCTCTCAGGCTGTTGGAAGTACTCAACAAGCTGAGCAGTGATATGCAGAAGGGCTGGGTTGTTTTTTTAGTCCCTTTCCCTCCTCCCACCATACTAACTTGGGGAACTGCATCTCCATGCCTTTCTTTGCCTTCCAGGCTTCTGTGACAGGTGCTCTTCCTGTCAACTGACAACTTCTTCCCCAAGAAAACTGTCTCCGTGTGACACTACCCGAGCTTTGGGAACCCAGCGCTGTCAGATCCCAAAGGCGATGTCCCCAGGGGGCCCTCAGGTGAGACCCTGGGAGGGGCATTTTAGGTTGGAGAGTCCCTGAGGTTCTGAGTCTTTGGCTGGGAGGACAGACCCGAGTGTGGGTGGGAAGAAGGATGGATGAGGCGTCTGACCCAGAAGGCTGAGCAGGGAGGCCTGGATCCCATTAAACCTTGTCCTTGGCCTCTCCTGGAAATGGCTGGCTTTGCAGCAACTCTTGCTCCACCCTCTGGGGGCCCAGCCAGCTTTGAGAGCCAGACAGCGGTAGAGCGGCAAGAGCTTGGGTGACCCTTAGGGGCCGTGCAGCCACACCCACTCCCCGCCCACTCGGGGCTTTCAGGAGCAGCTGCCTGGAACTGGAACAGGTCACTGAGCTAGGATAGCCCATTGCCGTGACCTGGGATGGGTCTCTCTTCCTCTCTGGGCATTTTTGTTCCAAATCACTGGTCCCTGAAGTCCTCTCAAATCTGGCAACAGTAGGGGTGGGAAAGGCACAAAGTGCTGGAGACCAGGCTCAGGGTGTCTGGGATGACCTGAAGGGCTCCAGGCTGAACTGCAGGCTCCTTGGGGGAAAGCAGTGGTGTATCCCAGAATTTGGCAAGTCTGGCACCATGCTGGCATATTGTGGGTGCTTAGCAGATATTTGTCAGCTCTCAGTGACTGAGACAAGCTCCTGCTTACTGCAGTCTCCCTGTGGAGCGCTGGTGTCATTTCTATAAAAGCCATTGCTTTGGGTCATAAGCTTTCTCAGTCACTCAGCCAGAGTCCCTGTGGAGTTGCAAGTCATGACACCCATCCACATGGTCACTACCTGGAAGCAAGTTCATTCATCCTTTCATTCAGTCATCCTGGGCACTATGCCACACTGAGGCATCGATCAGCAAGAACCAAGGGGAAAATGCACACACAAAGAGTACTACAGGGCACAAGGAGGGCATTCAGCCCAGGTTGAGGGCAAAGAAGGGGGCACTAAGCTAAGTGTTACAAGGTGAGGCATCAGCCAGGTGAAGGTGAAAGAGGATCCTGAGCAGATGGCACGCACTGGGAAAGGCATGGACTGGAGGGTATCAGGGATCCACAGATGGGGAAACTGAGGCCCACCAGTGAATCAAGGCCTCAATCAGGTCGCCATTGGCAAAGCTGGTACCAGCATCTGAGGCTTCTGATTTGTCTGCAGTTCCTAGCAGCTAAGGCCAGCAGGGCTGAATGGTGGCAGTGCTGGGTGGATGTCTCACAAGTCGTCCTGTGTGACCCACAGGGTGGGGATGGCCAGACACATCTTTCCATCAGGAAGCAGGCCTTTGAAGGGAAAGGGACCCACCCAGAGTCACTTAGCCACATGACACAGAACTGAGGCTAACCCTTAGGTCGTGGGACTTTGGGTTCACTGCTGTGTCCCCCAAGTGTGACTTTGCTATTGGGCACCAGCATCAAGGGTTTCTGGACACTGCTCTCCAACCTCCCAGGCCACCTAAGGGTGACTGGGGTCATGGGCAGCTCAGACTTCGAGGGCGTGGGCAGGAAGGGAGGGATTCTCCTTTCTCTCCCTTACTCCAGAGCACAGACATCCTGCCCCAACCCTGCCACTGAGTAGCTCTCCTCCCTGATGGAGCCCCCACTGTCTACATCTGGCTCCTGTCATCTGGCTGCATGTACACGTGTGTATTCTACACCTGTATGCATTTCTCACTGCCATGTACTAGTCTATTTATATTTGTAATTTTTTTGAGATTTCACCCCCACACACAACAATATTACATCTGTGAGAGTCAATCTATATTGGTATATGTATATACGGGCCTAATTCTGACCTTATTGTACACATGAGAAAGAGAGAGTCCACAAGGTTATAGGATATACTCCAAATCACAGGTTGTCAGTGAGGGAGACAGAATTTGCACTGTGGGGTACAGAGCCTTTTGTGCTTCTGGCTCATGCTCTCACCACCTTCTCTCCTCACTAACTTCCTCCGACCTGGTGCCCAGCCCAGCCCTGCCACCCTCTTCCTCCTCTCATCTCCTGTGGAGCCTCTGAGAGACTTTCACAAAGATGGTCCCCTTCCCAGGGTCACATGTGTTTTAGATAGCGCTAGGAAGGAGTCATTGCAGTGGGAAGTGAGGGCTTCTAGCTTTGTCTGTACTGGGTGTCTGAGCCTGAGCAAGTCCCTCTGAGCCTCGATTCCCTCATCTGGATAATGGGTCTGCTTATCGGAACCTATGAGTTATCTAATGTCACTGACTAGAGAGGCATGTCTCAGAGAGCTTTGGCATGGGAACGGGGAGGAGGGCTTGTGGTGGCCCCCTGTCCAGCAGCCCTTCAGTCCCAGCAAGTAAGAGGGGCCACACTCACCATCCGCAGCATGTTGGAGGCAGGTGGGGACACCTGGGAGCGGTAGAGGTTGTGCAGCTCCACCATCGCAAGCTTCTCGTCCTCCTTGAGGGCTCTGGCAGGACCTGTGGTGGCCACCAGCAGTAGCAGCAGCAGCGGCAGCAGCACTGGGAGGCTGCAGGAGCTATGCATGGTGGCCAGCCCTCTCTGCCTCTCCCGTCCAGGGGTCTGGTGGCAGGATTTAAAGTCTTTCCCACACAAGCACCACCCTGGGTGGGGTGGGGTGGCGGGCTGTCTGGAGGCCCAGCCCGGCTCACACAATGTCTCGGGGAGGGCTGGGTGCCTTGAGTCCCGACCAGAGTTGAGTCCACTCCCCTGGAGTCCTTGGCAATTGCCTTCTTGTTCTCGGTAACAGGGGCTCAGGCCAAGAGCTGTGTGAGCTCCACAGTCCCTCCTGAGTGAGGACAGAACCTCAAGGGGCAAAATGACAGGAACATCTGCAGAGCTGTGACTGTTGCATCCAGGTCACACCCACTGAGTGCTGAGGACAGCAAAGAGCAAATGACACAGATCTACCTCCTAGGGTTGGGTAAAATGCGGAAGCTAGCTGTGCCTCTGAAATAACAGGAAGACGAACCGTGTTTGGTAAATGGTTAAGAACAACCTAAATCTGAATTTTGGCCCTGCCCATTGCTTTCGGTGTTTCTGGCAGAACTGAATTAGTGATGATAACTGACCCTACCTCCCGGGGTTGGAAAGAGGATTACTTGAGATATAACGTGACCAGCACATTGTAGGTGCCCAGTGACAGTAGGCCACAACCCTCTGCACATGGCCTAAACAAGGGTTTGTGGGAGGAGGGCCCAAAGCGTTCACTCCATAGCTGTACCCTGGCATTAGGCTTTTCGCTGTGCCCTCTGTGAATGCAGGTGCTAGAGGTGCTGACTCAGAAATGGGTGCTCTGAGCATGTAGAAAATAGAAAGTGAGAGAGCCAAGTGAGCCCATGATCTGGGAGCTCTGAGTGGAGCCCAGCAGCCAAGCGCAGACACTAAGAGGACAGTGCAGGGGCGCAGACTGAGGCGTTGGCCTGCAGGAGGTGGAAACTGGCACCGGTACTTCTGACACAGGCTGGGATCCTTGAAGCCTGCACCCTCAGTGAATGAGGACCTGGAAAAAACCTCCCTACTGGTTTTGGAAGATTTCAAGAAAGCCTGGCCCTGCCCAGGCCCCCAGGTAAAGATAAAAGCAAAAGCAAACACAACTTGGATTCCACTGGAAAAAAACAAAAAAGCTGTCAGCACTAATAAGTTGAGAAAGTTGCAGAGTACACAACCAATCACAATACACAGAAATCAGTTCTTTGTACATACTACCAGTCAATAAGTAATGGTGAAAACAATTGCATTTACAATAGCAACAAAAAAATAAACTTTGGACTGTGGATGTAGCTCAAGAGTCGAGCACTTCTTACACACAGACTGAAAACTACAAAATGTTGCTGAAAGAAATTAAAGACAAATTTTGTCTTTAATTTTGTGAATTAGAAGACTTGGTACTGTTAAGATGTCAGTGTGACCCTAAACAATCTACAGATTCAGTGCAAAGCCTATCAAAATCCCAAGAGTTTTTTTGTGGAAATAGAAAATCTACCCTAAAATTCACATAGACTCTCAAGGGACCTCAGTAGTTAGAAAAAAATCTTGAAAAATTGCAGAGGTGAAAGTCTCACACATTGGGCTGTCAAAACTTAACAAAGCTACAGAAATCAAAATAGTATGGTACTGACATTCAGACAATGGAATACCTAGCACAGAAATAAATCTTTGCATATATGGCTAAACAACACTTTTTTTAACAAAGAAAAGGAGCCAAGACAGTTCAGTGGGGGAAAGGACAGTTTTTTGTTTTTTTTGTGTTTTTTTCCAACAAACTGGAATAACCACATGCAAAAGAATGCATTTGGGGCTCGGGCTACATAGCTCAGAGGTAGAGGACATTTTTTTCCTCTTCCTTCCCTCCTATCCTCCTTTCTTCCTTTTTGACAGGGTCTTGCTATGTAGCCTAGGCTGGTCTCAAATGTAATCCTCCTGCCTCAGCTGCCCTCATGCTGGGATTACAGGCATGTACTACCTTGCTGCCACCCCCCTGGGTTCTGAAGGCTTTTTTCTTGAGAATATGATGTTTGGAGTTGAAGGTACTGGCTATCCCACACATCTGTGCTATTCTTGAGGGTGACAACTTGGGAATGAATATCATTTAAACTATTCATGTAAGCCAGGCAGATCCATCATCTCTAAAAATGACCCTAAAGCAAACTGCTTGAAAAAATTAGGTCTGCCACAGTGCCTTGCCAGTACCACACTATTCTGGTTTGAGGAGTCACTCCCTGCCTTTGCCTCTGTGCTTAGCTACATCTTTGCCTCCCCTTACCCCATCACCCCACTTGCCCCCAACTTTTCCTTCCTGTCAGCCTGTCACAAGCTCAAGGTGACATGTTTGTGGAAACTCTGTGGCGCTTTCAAGTTCTCCCTCCCTGAGGCAGTTTTCTGCATTGTTGTGCAGTCTCTCCTGTGATGGTGTTGCAGGTAGTGGGAGATGTCCTTGAAAAGGAAGCATCATGGGAGGGGGCACCTGGCTCCCATAGCATCACACCTCAGGGACCCCTGGGAAGCCCACTTTCTCTGTGTGGTGAGTCATCTTTGTGTCCTCCCAGGGAAAAGGGAGACTCAGGACAGAGCCCAGGTCTTTTCCTTTGGGGATTCCCAAAGCCAAGGAAGATGGGCAGCATATAACCCTGGCCCTGAAGCCTTTTCCAGACAGTGCTAGAGCTCTTGCCTAGCACGCACAAGGCCCTGGGTTTTATCCCCAGCACTGCGAAAACCAAAAACAGCCAAGCAGAGAAATTTGAATTTTAACTAAAAGAAAGAAATTAAAATGGCTCATCTTGTTTAAGAGTAAGAGTGGTTGGTTTAAACTTGACTCAATAGATGAGACTAACACATTAAAGTCCCAGCTGCGGGCAAGGAGGAGTGGAGGAGGAGGAGACAGGAGACTGGGCAGGGATGGGAGCAGGCGGAACCAAGCCAGACCTACTAGGCTTTGTCACTCCCTAGCTGGACAAATTATTTACCTCCTCAAACAGCCTTTGTTCATATGTAAAATCAGAGAATTGCTGGTAAAATCAATGTCAGACTATTAGCACCTGGTAATTGTTTGAACAGATAGAAAGAGGCAGGCAGTTCCCGGGTGCCTTGAAAAGGGCAAAATGAGGTCTTGCTGCCCTCCAGGTTTGGGATCTATGGCTTCTGGATAAGATGTCTGATTGATTCTGGGGACAGGGCATCATCCCATGCCTGGGGCCTCTGGGGACAGTCCCCAAGAGGAGAGCCTGGCTGCCCAGTCATCCCTGAATCCTAAATAGGTCCTGTCTCTTCACGGCTCAGTAGGGGTAGCAGAGGCCTCTCTCCCCACTGAATTCCAAACTTAGCCAATATCCACAGCCTTTAGCCAGGAGCTCCTTGGCCTGTAGGGCTGCAAGCCTGGCCCAGAATTCCAGGGACTTCTGCGATGCTGACTTCCTCTCTGGTGTAGACAATACTTGACGGAGCACAGCTGTCAGGGACAAAGTGATAAACTGCCCCCTTCTAAGGACTGCATGGCTGGGCTTGAGTCTGGAGCTAGGGTGTGGGAGCCCATGGGGTGGGCTATGTGTCAGACATGGTTGTGACTGGACAGTCAGGAGGGACAGCTGAGAGTGTGTGCGACTGGAAGGAGGCCAGCCTGAGTTTATGTTTGTGTCTGATTTAGTGTAACAGCTACCTGACAGCCAGGTAGCCATGGCATTGGGGACCAGAGAAGAGTGTGAAGATGCAGGATAGTGACTGTGACAAAGGAGCAGCTGAATGGCAAGATGAGCAAAGGTCAGATGTCTTCAGAGATCCCTCTGCCAGTCCCCCAGGCAAGAAACTGAAGCCATTACGGTCTTCTGCCTGAGCTACAGGAAGTCCTCATCAGTGTCCTCATATCTGGCCATATCAAAGTATAGATAACTAAAAATAGTTTAGATAATAATCTGAGCACTCAGTTTAGGAGGTAAAGCATGGAAGGCACAGCATCCCTCCCAGATGGAAGCTATCTGAATTTGTTTGACCTTTGCGTGGTTTCTACTGTACTCTCACCAGATACCCCACATCCAAACACAACATGTACACTGTTCTCCAAGTCTTACGTCACCAGCGATGCCCAACAGAACCCTGCGATGGCAGCAATTGTTCTGGGTCGGAGCGGTCCAGTACTGTAGCGCTAACTATGGCGGCCGTGTGACTGAGGAAAGGCACTGTCAGCTTTAGTTTATTTAGGTTTAAAGAGCCTCATGTGGTTACTGGCTAGTGGTGGCCACATTGGACAGCACAGTCTAGATCTTTCTGAAGCCCCTTTTTTTCTTTTTCTCATTTTTGAGATTTGCTGACATCAAGGCACATAGTTCTGCACTGCGCACTGTATACATTCCATTTTATGACTCTACAGCTGCCTCTTCACCCATTTGAGTCTTGGTGGACATTTGGGTTGCTTCCATTTTTTGCTAATACAAATGATGCTGCAGCAATCTTTGTAACACGTCTCTGCGTGCCTTTCCTAACTTCATTGCCAGTGCCCACTGCAGTGGGCAGTTCCTGACCCCAACCCTGGGCTCCTTGTAGCCTTCAAGCTGCCTCCCCAGTCTGGTCTCTTCCCTTCTGCACGCCCACTCCTCTCCTGACATCCATCAGCCCACTAAGCCAAGATGGTGATTCTCAGGACCCACTTCCATTCTCTTTCCTTCCAGGAATCCAGAATGGCTCCCATGGCCTGTTGCATCTGAGCTCAGCTCCTCCCTTGAACCTGCACCCCCACAATCTGGTCCTATCCTCGATTCTCTGTGTTTTCCAGCATCCTTTGCCTCTGCTAGGTCACCTCTTTCCAACCCTCTGCATGCATCACACTGTTGCTACCTTTGTGTCTTCATTTTCAATGTCTTGTCTTCTTTCTTCTCCACATCTTCAACTCCTTGAAGATCTCTTGGGGCCTGGCCTGGGCCTGGCCTCCTCCAGGGTACTTGTCATTCTGCAGCATTCATTCAGAAAACACTCATGAGGAGCCTACTAAATGCTGGCTCTGGCTTGGCGCTGAGCTTAGTGGGAGCAGGACAGACACAGCATCTGTCCTCATGTTGTTCAGAGCCTGGCCTTCACTGGTGACACTGACACCAGTCTGCCTCAGGTCCCAGTTCTCTGCATTTTCCCTTGTACCTTAGTGTGGATGAAGCTCTAGAATCCAGAGAGGTGTGGTGTGATGTCAGGGTTCACTAGGAGAGACAGGAGTGGCTGGCTACTAGCAGGCCAGGAAAGGGGCCTGGGAGTGGGAAGATGCACTCCAGTGCAGACCTGGCCCACTCCTCACAGCATGACTATCGAGGCCCACAGGTGCTCACTCCTCCCTAAAGCTCCCAAGAGACTGACTCACAAAAGCAGAAATGTTAGTATATATGTTTAT